ATTTTAGGCAGTTGTCAGCAAGCACCTGTTATCTCAAAGCCCATAGGGAAAAGGAAATAAAAATATATGGATATTGTATTTTTTAAATTCTAAGGCTCAAACCTTAAAAGTCCTTTTGAAATGGGTGTTTATTTGATAGGTATGTAAATCTGCAAGCTAGCAAGGAGGACTATCTGGAGAGAAGACCCTGTTACTATTGTTGAGACCACCTGTCATGTTTCACATGAGTCTGGAGCTCTGTAGAATAAAGTCCGTCCAGCAGTTCTGCCTTCATCTTTAAAAATGTTGTGTTTATGGAGCAGGATCGATTTTATGTATCTCAGAAAGTCTGTCATTCTGCTCAGGGCCATTTGCTGACTAATGTCTCCAGCAGAGAAGAGCAACAAGCAAGTTCATGAATTATGGCTCTCCTTGAGGTTCTTTTAGCAAGACTATTTTTTATTTTAAGAATGTCTGCTTTGATTAAAGCCATTAGAGCTGGGAGCAAATAAAAATGTGTCTGAATTTTACAGGTCTCCCATTTTATAGCAGGAATCCTATGCTATAAATGAATGAAGCCTACATTTTAATTCCTGCACTACTAAGGCAAATGAAGAGGATTTAATTAACAAGTTAAACTAATTCTTCCTCAACTCCCAGGGTCGGGGTTCTCAGAAGTAATGTGACAGGAGACTCATTGGGCAGGTAATACTTTTTTTTTTTTTTTGCCCTTTATGGTTGAAAAATATTTTCATTTGTTTATATACTCTCCTGACTCCAAAAGTTATTTTTAAAATGACATGAAGAATGTGTTGGGATGGGAGTTCAAGGTTTAAGAGTGAGCCTATAACATCCTTACCAACTAGATTTTTTTGTTTTGTTTTGTTTTTTGAGACAGGGTCTCACTGTGTAGTCCAGGCTGGCCCTGAACTCTCAGTGATCCTCCCGCCTCAACCTCTCAAGTGCTGGGATTACAGGCTTGCCCCACCACGGCTGGCCATCCAACTTGTTCTTATATTTATTAAACTAAAATGGTTATCTGCACTATGTGACTGAAGTGATGTTAAGTTGCCTAAAACTAAGAACCAAGGGGATTAGTTTCTCTTTGCTTGAAAGTTCCAGGGTCTCTCCCCCTCAGCTTAACCCCTTTGTGGCTGATAGTTTGCATTCTTCATGTGGTCAGTGTCTTCCTGATTCGTGGCATGAGACTGGGAAACCTGTCTGTGTTATAGGATGTCCAGGTAATTTAGTGCTTGACATGGAAGATACTTTGGGTGGCCTTTAGGTGACTTAGTTGCGACAGTGAGGTAGGCATTTCTTCACACTCCACATCCTTTAGCTCTGTCATTGACTGCATTTTCTGGTAAAGCATTTTCCTTTTATCTCTCTCTTAGCAGTCTTCCTTTACCTCCACAGCTGGGCCTGCAGTTTTTTTGCTTTCGGCTCCCTTTCTTTCTTCCAAGTCGGTACCATAGCAGCTTCTACTCAAGTTGGACTTTCACCCTCACACTTCTTTTCAGGTCCCAGAGTGCCCAAGTCAGCCTGTGTGTGCTGAACTGGAGTCTCATACAGGTGGAGGTGATCCAGGGAAAGTCGTTATTGTACTAGCTTAACAGAGACAGCATGAACAGACCTACAACTAAGTGACAAGGAGTGTTTCTTACTGTAGATACTGGCCTGTGTGTAATTGGTGCCAGGTAAGCACACAGTTTATACCATGTACACGCAGACATTCCATGTACCATTTCTCTCCTGTTGTCTGTTAGCTCACATCTGGCAGATATTCTGAGATGAACAGACAGGGCTCCGGTGGACTTTTTGTGTTTAGTTCCAATTATTTATCCAAGGCATGAAAGATCTTAAGTCTTGTTGAGATGTGTTGGGACAACAGAATTAAACTTTGTACTCTGACCACTCAGTAGGCTTTTTCATCGTCTTTCCCCATGAAGTTTTGAACACCACTTTGACATTCTAAATTGTGAAGTAAAGAAATATTAACCAGAGAACAAATATGTCACTACAGGCTTTGTATATTCCCATGCTAGACTGGTGGACATTCACTGGTGAATTATCTTCAATTTAGAATATATGGATATATAGTCTTGTAGATAGAGGTGTATACCATATACAGATACCTGTGAAATATTTCTCCTCTGTGTATCCTATGCAGATCAGTTTTAAATTGTCACACAATGTAGCTTAATTTTGCTGTTTTTAAAAAGAGGCATAAAGGGATTTATTAGGCAGAAATGTAGTTCATGAAGCTCAATTGCCTCTAGGCCTGACGTGTCAAGTGATTTGTTTCGTGCTGCCCCAGATCCAGTGGGGGAGGAAGCAGGGAAAACCAAAAAAATCCTTACTCCTTGCCCTCGCAGTGCCCTGGCATCTCCTGGGAGCCCCAGGAACGTGTTCAGTGTGTGGCTAAATCCATGCTATTTTGCAAGTCTGTGGAGCCACCCAGGATATACCCTGAGAAGGTTTGAGTGATGGGATAATTAGAACTGAGCAACAGCAGGGTGGATGGATTGTCAGTGGATAATAGCTTGTTTGTTAATTGCCAACACCAGATTTTCTGAGCAATTAGACATTTGGTTTCTTCCAAGACCTTCTGTGCAAATGTGGACACATGGCCCTGGGCGTGTGGAGGAGAGAAGGCAGTTCTGAGGCTGGATGGCGTCTCTGTGGAGCTGCCCAAGGGGCTGTGGTCAGGATGGAACTATGACCAACAGGTAGAAAGATCATCTGGCTGGGCCCCTAGGTGGAGAGGCACAGTCCCCCTGTTTTTATGGGAGAAGTGCCCTTGTGCTGGGAGATTAGCAAAGATGGTAGAGTTCAGCAGGCTGATTGAGGAACCGAGTTTATTTTTCCATTATGGTCAAGAGCACCAGGCTGGGCTTGAGTTAGAGGTCTCGCCTGGAATGTGTAAGGCCCTGGATTTGATCCCCTCACCCCTTACCCCCCAAAAGAGCACTGGGTCATGTGTTCTAATAGGAATAGAAAATAATGTTCCTTCTCAGGTGAGCAAGTTGATTTTGTGGAATTACAAAATGTAATATTGCCTTTCATGTCCAATTTATTTTGCTTAGCATAATTTCTGGTTCATTCATGCTGTAACATATATAAAAATGCCGTTCTTCTTATAAATGAGTATTCTTCTCTTGTATATGTATGCCACATTTTGTCTACCCACTCAGTCTGGTGATGGGTACTTGGGTTATTTCTCCCTTTTGGTTATTTTGAATAATGCCGTAAAGAACACGCAGGTACAAGCAACTCTTTGAGTCCCTGTTTTCCACTCTTTTGTGTAGACACCTGGTGGGGGGAGGGGTTGCTTGGTCCCACAATAATTCTATATTTGATTTCTTGAGGAACTGCTCAAGTGTTTTCCATAATGGCTGCACCATTTTCCATTCTCACTAGCAATGCAGAAGGGTTCCAGTTTTTTAGCATCTTTGCCAACACTTGTTATTTTTCTTTCCTTTTAAAAAAAGTGGAGTCACCCTTAGCGGGTGTGAAGTGGTGTCTCACTGTGGTGTTGATTTGTATATCTCTAATAGTATTGAACATCTTTTCATAAGCTTTCTGACCATTTGAGTATCTTCTCTGAGAAATGTCTGTCCAAGCCCTTTGCCGAGTGAGTTGAGGTTTTGCCTCTGTAATCAGGTGGCTGTGTACCTGTCTCACAGAGGCTGGGGCTGAGCCTCCCTGGGAGAAGAGCGGCCATACACCTGCAGAGATGGGAGTGGCTGTGCAGATTTGAGGCTGCACATTTGTTCTTTTGTGGTTTCTTCATCCCTTTGCCCATTTGGTAACCACTATCATGACACTGTTTGAGGTCTTCCCTGTAGAAAAAAATTTTTGCAAGAGCTGGGGATCAGCACAAAGGGACTTAGCAGAAGTAGCAGATGGAGCCACTTCTGGGGCCCCCAGAAGCAGACTGGCCTTTCCCAGAGCTCCAAACCTTCCTGCCAGGTATTAGGCTGTGACTAAGTGCAGTGGGATATGTGGAGCCTCCAGTGGCCCATGGTACCTGTAGGTGTGCAGTATCAGGCCTTCATCTCCCCAGTGGGGACACACAGTGGGATCACACAGTGGGGTCCTTGCTTGAGTCTCTGGGGCCCTGCCAGTCCTGGGTAGCAGATAGGAAGGGAACTGTGGGGCTTTCCAGGACTAACCAGGGACAGGACACTTCTTCTTGGGGACCCTTCTCAGGGACAGAGCCACTGGGCTCTGAGAAGGCTCCAGAGCCAACAGCTGTGCTTGAATAATTGCAACATCAGGCTGATGGAAGTATAGTGTTTGTGCTGCTTTGCTGTTAGCAATTGGGTTTGACCTGTGTCTCTCCTGGGGCCCTTCTGCAGGGTCCGGCTTTGCTAATCCAGCTGCCTTATTGCGGTGGCTTTTCTCTGAAAGTCAGAAACCTTCAGTGTCCCTGAAGAGATGAGTTCACCATCCTCTGGTGGGGCCCTCACACCAGAGGGAGGAAGGAGGCAGTGCATGTGCCAGGTGCAGACCCTCTGTCTGGAAGTTACACTCATGGGTTCCTAGGACAGGGGCTGTTCACCCTCCTTTGGGAACCTGTGGAGGGCCGTGGATCCTCTTCCAGAAAAAGCCTGCAGAAACTGGCACATCCTTTCCGGTGCCTCAGGTCCACTAGTTCATCAAGGAGCCTGAGTTAAGAGCTAGGTCTCCAGGGGGCACAGCGAGGGTGGGGGCATTTTGGGGACTGGTCACCTTCTCCTTCGTAGTGGGGGTCGGGTGGCACAGGGAGGGGCCTGGCAGTCACTGGGAGGAAAGGGGCAGGGACATTTTATTCGGTTAAGCTCTAAATACCAAACACAAGGCACGCTGGCCTGAATATGGACACCCTGCCCAACTGGCTGTGGTTTGGCCCTGCTTGTCACCTTAGTTAGCTTTCGAGAAGTCGTGTGCCTAGCAGGGCAAAGCCATGCAGGCTTTACTTCTGCTCCCTGGGTTAGCCTTGGCCATTTCTAAGGAACAGATTTTGTCTTTCCTTTCAGAAACAGCCCCCACATCTGAGTATTCATCTCCAGCCCGGAGTCTTGGAGACACAGGAATAACACCTCTCTCTCCATCCCATATTGTGGTAAGAAATTGTGTGTGTGTGCATGTGCGTATGGTGTGTGTGTGTGTGTGTGTGTGTGTGTGTGTGTGTGTGTGTTTGGCGCTCTCTGGGTCTGTGGTAACAGTTCAGGCTGCTGGGCAGCTCCTACATCCACTGGGTGAAGATTAAATTAACCCATTACCAGCCACATGGACCCCGCCCCTGCCATGCCACTAGCCCACCTGAGCTCAGAAAGACTTGTGGTATGGCTGGTGAGTCTGGAGCTGTGGGCGGAGGGGTAACATGAGCTGGCAGGGTGGGAGCATCTCTTCAAAGACGTGGGGCCCAGAGACTGTAAAGCATCCTCTTGGAAGGAAGTGGCCGTTTTTGGCAGGCGAACCAGTGAAAGGCAGGGGCTTTGCCCACTGCAGTTACCTGCCATGTCCACAAGCCTGTGTGGGTAACTCCTTCTGCAGCAGGAGCTTGCCCAAGAAAGAAGGCTGAGCAGGACTCCCCTACAGCAAGCTTTCCCCAGCCTGCACTTCAGGAAGAGATGGACAGTGTGGGACTGCTGTTCAGAGGGGTGTATGTGTAGCCAAGGGGAATGAAGTGCCGGAGGAAGGAGAATTTGCATAGAGTGCTTAGAGCCACAAAGATGCTGCTGAGAACTTTGGAGCCACCACTGGGTAGGGATTACCAACTTGTCCTGGTTTTCCTGGAATGTCCCAGCATTACACCAAAATTCCTGTGTCCTGGAAATTACCTCAGTCCTGGGAAGAACCAAGAGTGTTGGTCACCTGTGGCCAGGTCCTGTGGTTTTCAAACGTCGAACCCTGTAGGAGCTTTAGAGCAGCCTGAATAGGGTGGGCAGTGAGAGGAGAGGCCAGTGAGTAGTGTTCTCATCCCTTTCTTCCAACAATCCAGCAAAATCTAAAATGTGTGTGTTGTATAATATAGAATTCTGTGGGGGGTTAAAAAATGAAGAAAGTCTACATTGCTTAAAAAAAGAAACCTTAGGAAACCTGAAGTGACCTGCCCTAGTGATCTGACAGATAGGAAGGGCTCTGTGTCCTGAGGGCATAGGGCTCAGCAGGGTCAGGGTGTGCAGGATCGGGTGTGCCGAGCCCTCTACGTGCAGGAAATGCTGGCACAGATGGGGAGGTCAGTGGGAGGCCTGAAGGGCACAGCTGGCAGAGTACTCTGGACATCAGCTGGAGGTCGGCACAGGGACTAAGGGAGAGAGTAGGAGGAGACTCTATCCAGGGAGTTGCTGGGTTTCCATCTGTAATTAACTTCATGTAAGCACGCACGATTAATGAAGGGAAGCAGGCAGGCTGCAGGCAGTGCTCGTCCAGTCAGCCTGGCCTCCCTCAGGGTGCCCACATTTCCCCTGAGTCACTCAGGTGGGGCTGGCCTGGCCTGCCCTCATCCCAGGGATGCTGCGTGGAAACGTGGGCAGAAGTGTGGACATCCTTCCTCCTGGAGCAAGGGCACTACAGAGTGGAACTACCCAAGCCTAGGTCTTCCTGAAGGCTAAGTCTGGCCCTGGCCTCCAGTGCCCCATTTTATATCTGCAGAATGATGCCAACTCCAATGCCTCAGAACAGCAGACATTTCTTGTGGTGGTGGCCATCGACTTTGGGACCACATCCAGTGGCTATGCCTATAGCTTCACCAAAGAGCCAGAATGCATCCACGTGATGAGGTGAGTGCCATGGTGGGAGGGACAAGCAGCCTTATCAGCCACTGTACTGCAGAGACCCAGGGGGCATAGCTAGTCACTGCCCTGGCATATGGTACTTAGGAGGGTTCCTGGGTTTCTGGTCCAGCTCCGCCCAGATCCTCTGTGCCACTTTAGACAAACCATTCTGACCTTGGGCTCCAGCTTCCCGTTTGTTAGACTTTGGCTTAATTCTGACTTAGTTATCTGGGGAGGGATCCTGTAGCACATCTGAGGCCTGGCCCCAGTAATTCCAGGGTATGGCCTCCGTGACAGGAGCCAGCCTACTGTGACGGAGATAGTCCAGATGCTGGCTCAGCCATTTGCTGTGTGACCTAAGCAATTTCTGAGCCTGTTAAACCTCGGACTCCTCATCTGTAAAATGAGTGTTCATGCAGATTAAGTGAATGCTCAGCATGTAAGACAAGATAAGCAGACAACGTTCTCCCAAGTGAAGACACTGCCAGTGACACTACCAAAGACACAAAGCACCAGGCTTGGGAGAAAGCAGTGAGGTGTGAATTTCAGCCAAGCGACTCTAACAGGAAGTTTTCCCCTGGGCTTCTTGGGGTGCACTGTGTGAGACAGCCCCCCATGCCACCATGCACACCACATCTCCTGGGACCCACACGCTGTGTGACCCCAGGATCCAAAGTCTGAGAGGACCCTGACCTGTCCCTAGCACCAGTGTCAGCTCTCCCAGTCTTGACCCGTGACCTTCCTGCACAGCTGTGCCCCTCAAAGCTTTGGAAACCTGGAATTTATCACCGTGATTTCCCATCCAAGGGATGGCTTCAGATGCATTGTAACTGGCTTTGCATTGCCTTCACCTGCGCAATTGTGGAATTTAGTTATCACTTCAAGAGTAAGATTGTAGGTATTTTTATAAAGTACTGCATGTCAATCACACAGGGCATCCTAAAAATGACTCCCACTCTACCTTGCTTTAGGCCCTACTTTCTCTTGAAAACCAGAGTGGCTCAGCCTGATCCCACAGCTGTAAGAGGCTCCAGAGGCCCTCGAGGGTGGTCTTACTAGAAAATAATGGAAAGCTCATCCTGTTAGTGAATCCTGATGACCACATACCCCTCAGTGTTTGGTTGTCCCTAGGTGTCTACCTCTGCTGGGCCAGACAGATGTTTGGAGGCTTGGAGGATTGGAAAAGAGCATGAATCCATGTTCATCAGCTTCCGTGTAGTTCTAAGAAATGTTACTTCCACAGGCCAGTCAAGTAGTGAACATAGAAAAAAAGAGTAAAAGTAACTTTGAACTTGCCTGGAGGACACTTAAAGCCTCACCATGGCTCAGGGGCTCTAGAGATGTTATCTTAGTTATTGTAGAGATTCTGCAGGGAGGCTGGCTCTGTCTCAATTTTATTTCCTTCAGAACTTATTAACATGACCATGATACAGATTTACAAAGGTCTGAATGAGGAAGTTTAATAGTTTGCATTTAAATAGGAACGAAGGAATAAAAATGTGAAGGGAAAAAGCTCACAGGATCATTATCTGCGGAAAGTGTCACCGCTGGTAGTAATGACAGGTCCTTTTGTGAAATGCCTGCCATAAGATCCACCCCTGTGTCTCCATGCAGTCACCCCGAGGACTCTGGCTCCCGGGCTTGAGGGCTGCATCTGACGGAGTTGGACTGGGAAAGTGGCCAGGGATGATTCCAGGGCCATCCGAGTGGCAAATCTCACTGAGGTTGGCGCCCGGTCTGGACGCCAGTGGCCCGGCCGATGCTTAGTGAGGCGGTGCAGGGAACAGGTTTGAGCTCAGACAGGGTGCAGCCACCTTCCCCGTGGGCCAGGGGCTGTGGCCCATTTCTCCTCCACAGCAAATCTCCACCTGAGGCTGTGCCCAGGGCCTTGTGGCTGGGTCTGGCTAGGAAAGGAGCAGCCCGGGTGCTCAGCAGCTCTGGCTTCTGGGCAGCGACTCCCGAGGAGAGAGGAAGCACAGAGTGACACCAGCCTTCCCCACTCACTTCCCTTTCTGTCTGTCTGACAGAGGGAGGGAAGCTTCATCACACCTTCCCGTCCACGCGGCTGTGCCCTTCTCTGTCTTTGCTGGCTGCTCCTTGGTATACAGCCATGCGTGCTCATTTCCGTCCTTGATGTTCCCCTCACTTCTCCCATCCCATCTTGTCACTATGGCTGTCAGCAAGCTGAGAGCTTGTGTCTCCAGTCCCCAGACATGCAGTACTGCACGCACCATTCCCTTTGGCCCCTCCCTGGCCAGGGCTGCCTCCTCTAGGCTCCCAAGCTCCCAGGTTACAGGCGCCTTCGCTCCTGCTCACCGCCGTGTCCAAGCGTTGCCCTCTCCCTCTGGACCAGCTCCACAGCCCTCCATCTCCACCTCTCGCTTATTGCTCTCCCACCCCTGTTCTCAGGCTAGACCTGACCTATACCTCACCTCCTCCGGGCTTCCTGTCCCTCTCTTTGTGGTCCACTTTGCCCTTGTGAACAGCAGCTCTGATTCTGCCATCCCCTTGCTCGGAGACCTTCACTGTTCATGCTTTGACTCTCTAAGTTCACAGAGTTCTCCCCAGCCTCATTCCAACCCCTTCTGCGGTCTCCTTTCTCACCGTCCTCATTCACACAGTCACGCTTCTCCTTTACACACTCTTGCTCTAACCACCACCATCATAGGCACCTGTAGGACACATGCCCGGTGCCTGCTCACCTCGGAGCAGCCTGGGTGTCCTTCCCTCCTTTGAGATTCAATTGCCCTTCACTTCTACTAGTCTCCCCTGCGCCCTGCATCCTCCACCAGCTGGCACTTCTGCCTTCTCTGACCCATCGGGCCATTTCCCTGGGCCCCTGTGCTTGCAGATTAAAAACCCAAACCAAAAAACCTCATTATCTACCAGATTGTGAGTTATTTGAAGGCAGGGACATAAAGTTTCAGCCCTGTGTCACCAGCACATGGCATACAGTAGTGGCTCAGTTATGCTGAGGGAAAGGATATAGGCAGACCTTGTTATTGAGCAGCAACGTGGCACTTGCCCCTCCTTTTTCCATGCTAACTGAAGTTGTGTCTCTGGCCGCTACCCAGCCGACTGAGCTGGAGTGTGTCTGGGCAACCTCAGCTGTGACATTCATGCATACAGCAGATGCTGCCCACTCTGGGACTTTGAAAGAAGACCCCATAACCTCTGGCTTCCCTTGGTGGCAGGCGATGGGAAGGAGGTGATCCTGGCGTGTCCAACCAGAAGACCCCAACCACCATCTTGCTGACCCCCGAGAGGAAGTTCCACAGCTTTGGGTACGCCGCCAGGGACTTCTACCATGACCTGGATCCCAACGAGGCCAAGCAGTGGCTGTACCTAGAGAAGTTCAAGATGAAGCTGCACACCACAGGGGTGAGCAGGCCTCTTTCCTGGCCCAAGTTCTCTGCTTAAGAGAGCCAGGGGCCCTCCAGCCTCCAGCCTTTGCATCTTTCCAAACCAGGGACTCTCAAGTATCTTCCAAGCAGAAACTAATGTCTGTTACCTACCTTGATTTTAGAAACAGAACAGTGCTTTCTGAACTACATGTGAGCAGCAAATCTCACTGAGGTTGGCGTCCCCTCTGGATGCCAGCGGCCCTGCCAATGCCTAGTGAGGTGGTGCAGGGAACATATTCAGAATATCTAACAACTCGTCTGTCAGAGGGGACCCTGCTGCATACGGAGTGGGGCCTGGGGTCCCACTGTTGTGGCAGGAGTCCCTCCTTCGGTTGTTGGATTATTGGGCTATCAGGGGATCCTCTATCCATAGGGGGTTGGCACAGTTGTGGGAGGATTTAGGACAGTGGCTATTAATTAACCAGTTTGCAAGAAACAACTGGTAACAGCTGGCAGGTCAACCCTCTGTGTGGGAGGGAGCTCAGGACATCAAGTGCCCAGGAACTGGAAGCACTGTGGCCTCAGTTCTACTTGCAGCAAACCTGTGTCTTGGAAGCTGTGGAAGAGAAGCACCTGCTCCCCCCCCCGCCCCCCCCGCCCCGCCCCAAAGCTTATAAGAAAGGCAAGTCTGGGCCACAGGATGGAGCTTTTTCAATTTAAAAATTTTATCCTATATCAATGGTGGCGAACCTATGGCACACGTGCCACAGGGGGCGGTTTGCATCATTGGAAGCTCTAAAAGGTTCGCCTCCACTGCCGTAGGTGTTCCTCCTCTTTCAGTACTTAGAGACACAGGTGGTGGTAATAGTGTTTAGGACCAAGGGCTCTGGGGCCACGTGGCCTGGATTTGAATCTTGCCTCTGGTACCTTTAAGACACTTATTTATTCCAAGTTACTTAATGCTGCTGTGCCTCATTTGACCTTGTCTATAAGATGGAGACAGTGACAGTGCCTTGCTCACAGGGATATTGTAAGGATCGGGGAATGCAAATACAGAAATGTCTCTGAGCTGTGCCTGGCACAGAATAAGTTCTAGTCAAGTGTTAGCTCCTATCAGCCCTGCTTTCCTTTGTCTGCTGCTATTTGCAGATGAGAAAACAAATGTGAATAGTAAACTCAGCAGCCAGCCCCTGCCTTCCATGGCCCCATGCTCCCCCGTGAGTGTCTCTCTGTGTGCATACGGACACCAGGACCCATTTCTCCTTACAGGATTTGATGCCGAGTATCAGGATTGCAGATGAGGAGGCAGCAGCATAGGGATTTTTTTTCTAGTTCAGAGCCAGAGCTTTCTGGTGCTTGGCCACCTTCCTGAGCCTGGGGGCCCAATACTGGGGAGTCTTTGCTGAGTACCATGAGAAGGAGGTGGCTGGCTGGAGCGAGCACGTGCAGTGGGTCAGGACACACCTGGTGGCTGCACAAGGCTGTCCCTTCTCCCTCCAAAGGCAAAGCATACTTACCTATCCTGCACCAGTGAGAGGCCCCACTGGTTTTTGTTTCCTAGCAGTAATGAGCTTGTTGGTTCAGGGGCCTCCTTCTGATTTTCACTCCCACTTCCTGCCCATGCTCCACCCCATCGGGACTTTCCTCATCATTTTTTAATGACCTCTGTCCACCCAGCATCTGGGCTCTGCAGAGCATCGTCTGACCAAAGACCATGTCAGCAACGGCTGTAGCTTCTGGCAGAGGAGGAGAGGCAGTGATGCTGGGCTCCCAGAGGATTAGACAGGGCAGGCCTTAAAATAGGAACTTTTCTATTTTGGTGACTTGAGTGGCAGCTCGCTAGGAAATGAAAGCTTCCAGTCTGATTAATGTCACACCTGGCAGTGACTTGGCATGATTTAGGCCTCGATGGGGATTCTGAGGGCGACCATGTGTATTCACACGTGGACGTAGTATATCAATTACACTGGGTGTGACACCTGCTCTTTGTTTTTTCCCCTTAGCCTCTATTCCCCCCAAACCTTTGTTCCCAGAGAACCCCAGGGTGGGGAGAGCAGCCAGAAGCTCTTACACAATAAAGGAACAATGCCGCAGGCCCCGTTTTGGGGGATACACCATCCTAATCTGTGTTGCCAACCATGGGGAAACACAAATATGGCCCCCATGATTCCCTAGACCTCGAAGCAGCAGTCCCCAAAGCCAAAAGCATGTCTCTCCTTCGTCTTATTATTATTTCATTCCTTCCCTACCACTGCCAGGACCTCACCATGGATACAGACCTGATGGCAGCAAATGGGAAGAAAGTCAAAGCCCTTGAAATCTTTGCTTATGCCCTGCAGTACTTTAAGGAGCAGGCGCTGAAGGTAGGACTGATGGTTAGGTCACGTCATCCACATCCTCCCTGTCCTTCCAGGAAGCCCCTCCCCCAAATGCAGAAGGTAGATGACAGTGAAGACAACAACTGCCACTGGTTGGTGAATGGCACTATGGCCAGGCACTGTTCTAGACATGAGACCACATGTGATAGTTTAATTAAGACCTTGGCTTTTAGAGTCAAGACAGACTTAGATCTGGGCCTAATCTGGGCTCTTCCATTTGCTAGCTTTACAATGGTCCGAAAGGAACAGACCGTGAGGAAGTCTCAGTATTCCCATCTGGAGGGAGGGGGCTCAGTTAGAATCCCTTCCTAACCAGGTGCTTGAATGGGTCAACAGGGCACACCAAGTGCTCAGAGGGGCGGACACACAACAGGCTCTCAGTAGCAGCTCTCGAGCCTCTGCACAACCCATGAGCCAGGTATTACCCCTTCATTGTGTAGACATGGACACTGAGGCCTGAAAGGTTGTCACTTGTCCAAGTCCCATGCCTAGGAAGTAGCCAAAGGGATTTTCATCTGCCCCACATCTCTCCTGAGTTGCAAAGTGAGTGGAAGGAGACAGAGCTCCCGGCTTGCTGCATATTCAGAAAATTCACTGGGATGTGCAGGGGCAGACTGCTCCAGAGTCTGTGGCCAGAAACCTGGACTCTCGGTGAAGCCCCAGGAAATTGCCCTGAGGGACCAGCCCTGCTGCTTGACCCGCTGCCTTCACTTTCTTGGCCCCAGGAGCTGAGTGACCAGGCGGGTACAGACTTTGAGAACTCTGATGTCAGATGGGTCATCACAGTGCCTGCCATCTGGAAACAGCCAGCCAAGCAGTTCATGAGACAAGCTGCCTACCAGGTAAGGGCAGGGGCTGGCATTGGTGGGGCCAGGGGAGAAGGACCCAGGATGCCTGGGGTGGGGGCCCGCTCAGGGATTGTCTAGCTTTCACAGCTCCTCAGGACAGTGAGGAGGCTCCCGTGGGAAGGGGCAAGGGCGTGGGGACAAGGAGCCTTCCTGTCCTCAGACTCCTCCCGGGAGAGAAACAGGGAGCAGTCCAACAGTGAGGGTTGGGCTCCAGTTTCTTTCTGTCTTTATACTTTTCCAGGCCATGTTTCCACTGTAGATTCCCTGGGGCTAGGATTTCAGAGAAATTTCTCTGTGGGGGAATGGATGAGAGAACCATAAAGAAATGGCTTGGGAAACAAGAATATTTGAAGAAAGGAATAAATGGAGCCTGCTATGGTGGTACAAATCTGCCAATCGTAAGCTTGAGTCCAGCCTGGGAAACTTAGGGACTTAAGGAGACCCGTCTGAAAGTAAAAAGTAAAAGAAGGGCTGTGGCTGTGGCTCAGTGTGAAGGCACTGGGTTCAATCCCCAGTACCGCTGACTAAATAAAAATAAAGAAATAAGAGGCCATTAGCCACGAACCAGGCATTTTAGTTTGGTTGGAGGCTGAAAACTACGTCTGCATCTGGGAAATAGAGATGATTCTCCTCAGTGTGCTTCTTGCGAGGGACCAGAGCGGGGGAAGGGCTCTCACCTGCATGGTGGAGATGTCCGTGTGACGATGGTGGCCTGGTCACCTGGTGTGGCATCAGTAAGGTGCTTGGTGGCCTCAGACAGGACCTCAGTGCCATCCGTGCCCATCCATGTGGGCACCAGTTCCATAACCCCTCGTGGCTCCGATTCTTGCATCTGCAGACAGCCTGTCCCCTGATGGTCTCCCGTGAGGGTCTATGCTTGTGGCAGAATGGCCAGCTGAGCTGACCTACTGTTTGCTGGCCTCTGATGGACCCAACCCCTGGTTTTAGGGGAACCCCCTCTGCCCCCAGGGCCCCAATTCTTTGCACCTTGAGAGGCAGTTTTCTGAGTCTGCTACCTCAGGCGGGTGAGGCACATCACCAAAGCAATGGCTGTGCCCTGTTCCATCACATCCCTCAGAAGCCATCCTGTCCACGTTTCCTGGGGTGGCCTCTGATGTTGAGTTGGTGACCACGTATATAAGCCTTTCATCTCAAAATGCCCACAGAATGGGCCCTGAGCCCACAGTGCAGCAAAATGGCCTTGAGAGCCCCATGCCCTGCCCTGGTTCAGTGCTCAGGGCTTTGCTCCAGGCAGCATGCTGAGTGCAACTCACACGGGGTCGAGGGCCAGGAGCATTCCCTCCCGTCACTCTGTTTCCTGGGCTGTTTCCTCTCCTCTCCTCTTCCTCTGTGCAGCCTGAGAATCTGGCGTTGTGTGTGGATCTGCCAAAAATAGATTTGTTTTTCTAGGGATGAAGGAAGAGGACGGAAGTTCCAGAAAGAGGCAGTTTCTTTTCAGAAGAGAAGAAAACTGAATGCATTCTGCCTGTTCACCTACGCTCTGGGCATCACTGTGCTTTTTTTTCTGTGCCATGTGTCTTCAGGCGGTGTCCAAAGACGGGAGTCAGGGACGTGGCTGTCTGCAAAGACAGCCCCCAGTGCTCCGAGCTCTTCCCAGGAAGGATATTCAGGATTCATGGCTTTGACTTGCTTTTCCCAGCCTACAGGAAGATCCCAGCACCATATGTGTGACCCGCAAAAGGGTCAAACCTTATTTTTAGCCTGGAAAAGAAAGAGGTGCAGCAACTGGTCCATTTGTCAGGGTTGTGGGAACTCTGGGCCGGCTGTTCCGAGGAGTGGTTCTCTGAGGCATGGGGCAAGGGGCAGGCCCCACACTGGACAGCCCGAAAAGGAAATCAGTTAGGGACAGGGCACAGTCACCGTAGCTTTCGTGGAATAAAAACGGCCCCTCAGACCGGAAAGTCAGCAGCTCCCGGCAGGGACTGGTGTGGCCAGAATTTATGGATGTGGGGAATTTGCTTTCTGAAGCCCAGGGATGCGCTGTAGATAGGCACTGTGTTCTTGATGCTGGGTAAATTTGTGTGCTACAAGTTTTGACCCTTTGCAATTCCACTTTGATACTTGTGTTCAATTTACCGTGACAGTAGATTTAAAGATGGTATTGAGAATTCCTCATTCATTTGTTCATTCATGCCTTAGACACCGACACTGAGGTCTCTGAGTGCCAGGCTGTCATGGGCACTGGATTCATCCAGCTGACTGAGACAGAGTCCCTGCCCTCAGGTTGCTTAGGGCTGAGTGGCTCATAGTTCGGGGTCGCTGGGGTGCATTGCAGACATGGCTGCTCTGCGGCTTCTCTGCAGTCTCTTCGGCTTGTCCTCTGGAAGTGTCCCAGGACAGGACGGAGTGAAACTTGCCACATCTCTCCACTTCATGCCACTCAGCCTTTGTTATGCAGAATAAGAAAGAGGGGAACCTGTAGTGGTTCATTTTGCGGGTCAGCTTGACTGAGCCAGGGACTGCCCAGATGTTTGGTTAAATAAAAATTGTTCCGGTGGTTCCTGCGACTGGACAGACCCAGTAAGGCAGATGGCCCTCCCCGCTGTGGCTGGGCCTCTGATCCACCGGAGGCCTGATGGGGCAGAGGGCTGGCCCTCCCCCAGTGGGGTGAGCTGGCTCCTGCCTGCCTGCCTGCCTTTGAGTTGGGATCTCAGTTTTTTCCCTGCCTTCAATTCCAACCAAAACATCAGCTCTTCCTGGGTCTTGACCTTTGGCCTTTTGACAGAATTTACAACTCTTTCACCTCCTGGGCCTTCAGCTTGCCAACTACAGATCTTCGGAACTGTTAGCATCCGTGATTGGGAGCCAAATCCTTAAACATATTCTCTTCTCTCTCTCTCTCATATTCAAAGTTCTCTGCTCATTGACTTTTGAGCAGGCTCACCAGGCATCTGATCAAGTGGAAGTCTGTTTCCTTCTACAAGGTGGTGGTTGCCTCTGGTCCCCCCACCCCTGTGCATCCCATTGGCCTGAGTTCAGGCAGAAGAGCTGCAGGATTAGATAGAACAGATGTGCCATGGAGCTAGTTAGGAAACCAAGTATCACTCTGCTTGCATGGGAAACATGGACCCCCTCCTTCCAGGCTGGTGAGAGGCTTTCTGGGCACAAGTTCAAGACACAGGCAAGTGGGCCAAGTTCATCCTCCCACCTAGGTAGAGGGAGAGAGGCATGGTGCGGAGGTGGGATTTTGCTCCACATAGCTTCTTCTAGTCTGGAATCCTGGAGGTCTGCAGTGGCCTTTGAGGCCTACAGAGTCTTACATGCAGTTACATTTGATGCATGGAATTCCCCAAGCTTGCTGGTCTCAGTGTATGGTGAGGAAGTGAGCTAAGTTTCTGTCTTTTATAATTCACAGACTTAGGACACCTATACACCCTTTCAGAGCATTCAGTGACAAGGTGGTAGCAGAAGGAACAGCTGATCCCTCTTTTGAGGCCTTTGGGAAAGACCTGGAACTGGGAGAGAGATCCACTGAATCTGGGGGAACTGTGGATAGGAGACAGTCCAGTTTTTCCTAAAGGCATTTGGCCTAAAATAGGTAACTCTGGTAGGTTCCAGAAACCTGTTAAATAAATGATGCTCCCGTATGTATGATGATCTCATCTAACATGCAGACACAGCTTTCATTTGCTTCCCAGTCTGAATAAGCTGCAGTGAAAATAATCCAATCAGGACAAATGAAAGTGCATCACACCCAGGACTGGTGCAGCTGGAGCCTTTTTTAGCCTGATGACAGGCCGGCAGAGCACTTAACTGGTCTGGCCATTTTTCTCAGCTGTGGACACAGTCCTTTGGCAGATTTTCCTGGCAGATTGCAGGGCTGAGGAGGCGGGCTGGGAGCTGAGTAGTGGAGGTAAACGCCCACTTCTGGGGCTCCCTGGGGGACGGTTTTCTTGGCTGCTCCTCCTGAGCGGAGCTCATGCTCACAAAGGAAGGCGTTAAAAAGGCTCTTGCTGCCCCGGGTTTCTGGAGAGTCAGATGGAATAGGATGCTTCTCCCTTCATGCACTCTCTGTTTGTACAATCCCCAGGTGTCTGTGGAATGCTTGTATTGAGTGCAGGAGGAATGAGAGCTGGGAAAGTACAGAAGAAAGGCGGGCTGCAGGGGCGGTGGGTTCATTGGCTTAGCAGCTACCCCCTGGTGCCTACTATGTGTTACAGGCCAAGAGGACCTGACTGTTGCCCTTAGAAAATTACCATTTAGAACAGAAGCTAGATGTGTCTACACCACCTACCTAGTTGGAGACAGACCCTGTGAAGTGCTTGGGAGGGTCCCCAGAGGGGCAGAGCTCACACTGGAATAGTAACAGCCTGGTACCAGCCCCAAAGGCAGAATTAGCAAAGCCTGAAAGAATGTCCTGCTCCAATTGGCCCTGGCCTGGTCTCAGGCAAATAGACCCCTAGGCCTTCTGAGGCTGGAGGGCAGCTGTCGTAAGTGGTGCGAATGTTTGCGCAGAAACAAAGCTCATGCTTCCAAGCACAGCATCCTCCTGCCAGAGATAAGACAGCTGGGATTTGGGGAGTCTGGAAGATTCTTTTGCATTACTCTGCAACTCCTCTTGGGGAGGTAGAATCTGCATAGAGCCAGCTGCTCCCTCCCCTAGCCACCCTGTACCCCACCCTCTCCACTGTAGCCCCCAGGCATTTACTGGTGGGAGCACAGCCCCTCATTCTCACTGGAAAGCGGAACAAGGGCTGGGTCCAGCTGGCGGGGTCCAGCCGGCCTGTGATTACTGTGTCTCCCAGACACAGCCCAGGCCTCTCTGATCTTGCTGCTTCCTTCCCTCTGGAGTGGGGCACTCTTCACCTCCACCCCTCATCTGCCTCTTCTCCCAGGGGTTGGAGGGAGTGCTTTGTGGAAATGGGTCCAAACTATTGCTATGGAACTGAGGCCAGCCCAGCTGGGGAGCAGGGGTGAAAGATCCCCTCTGCAGCATACAGCCTGGGCTTTGGGGGCAGACTCGGGTCATCCTGGGTGTGTTTTTTCCATGCGATGATGTGGGAGCTTCCCAGTGAGAAGAGCTGTCCTGCAGGATTGTCAGCCACACACCAGCACACTCGACTTCTTGATTTGATTTTTCCATATAAATATTTCCCACCCAAGTCCGGGTTCTCGAACAGAATCTCAGGAACAGGGTTGGTAATGGAATGAGCCACTCATGTCCAGTCCTTTCTGCCTTCCTGCCATGACCCGGGTTTGGGTGGCTCTTGTTGGCACATAGGGGCCTATCTGGCCAGCTCATATCCTGGTGGGATGTGATAACAGTAGGGTGGATTTGAGTTGACAGGGTCTTTGCTTGTCTTCTTTTACTCCGAGTCTTTGAGGTCTTCCCTGGGACCCTGCTTCCCCCATCCAGCAAAATAGGACATGGATAGGTGAAGTGCCACCAGGAATGGTGAAACCTCTGAACATGAGTCCCAAGAATCCCAGAAGAAGGGCTGGGGATTTAGCTCAGTGGTTCCAGTTCCTCCCTCGAAAGCGCAAGGACCCGAGTTCGATCCCCGGTACCAAAAAAAAAAAAAAGAATCCCAGAAGAAGAAATCCAAGATGAGACTTTGAGGACCTTTCTGGGTTTGTAGCATCAAGGGTTTCTAGTCCGAACTTTGGAAGAGACTCTTGTACTTTTCCTTTGAAGATGGCCTTTCCTTGTTCCTCACCCAGTGAGGTCCTCGATGCTACAAACCCTTTGCCCTCAGCAAAGCCAGACAGTTGGTCATCTCCTTCTTGGGACTTGGCATCTTTCTACACTAAGGGAAAGAACTGAATGAAAGGCCCAGAAGATCCATCACATTTCTGATATTCCAAACTGACTCCACCTCATGTCCCTGACCACAATGGACCTTCTAAAGCCCCTCTGCCCATGGCTCCAGGCCAGCGCCTGCTGGTGAGGAAGTTATTTGTGCATGTGTCACATTAGGAGTCCTTCTGTCCTGGTCTATGAGAAAAGTCCACCAAACTTCAGGTCTGGTTGTCCTCTTCTGAAGTGGGTGTGGCGCCAGGGCAGCATCTCCAGGTTCCCTAGGAAACAGCAGCAAAGTAGTGGAGTGATGACAAGAACCACTGTAGATTCCATCATGATGGTGGCTAAGGAAATTCTGTCACCTCCTGCACAGCAAGACTTGCTCTGGTCCAGGGCCATGGAAGTGGGCAGGGACCCAGTTACAGGCCAAGGCCCATTGCTCTCAGCACCTCAGAAGGGCGGTCCTTGGGCAGGGCCCGGAGAGGCTGTGACTGAGTGAGGTAGGGCACATGTCACAGAGCAGAAGCATTTCTGCCTCCTGGAGGCTGAGGACTCCAGTGTTTGCTTATGGAGGCTACAGATGGGAACGTGAGGATATTAATACTATTTATTATTATATGTGATAAATATGTATAGTACAAATTTATTAAAGGGATAAAGGCTTTGAATGATATACCTTCAGCTGACTGTCAACCCACATTCTAGAAAATGAGGGGCTTCTTGGGATTCCAGGAGGGGTGTTCTCCAGGAGCCTCTGGTTCTGTGTCACCCCAGCAGCCTAATGCCGGGGCTCTCCCAGGGATGCAACAGCTCGCGGCCCCGAACTGCAAAGTCAGATGCTTGCCTAGCTGGGTCCACCAAGGCTGGGGTCTGGTCCGTCTCAGTCAGATCACGTGGCTCACTGCCATTGGGAACAGGTAGTCTGTCTTCTGCCCTGTGTTGATTTTCAGAGTTTTAGGGTTGTTGCAACTCTGTCCACCCACCACTTCAGAATTGAGCTGCATCTGCTGCACCGCCCCAGCCAAAGTACGTAATCTCCCTGCCTCTTCCCCAGTGCCTCAGCTCTGGGTTGAGCAATCCCTAAGTGCAAGAGGCCCATGGCCAGAGAGCTTTGTATTTCTGGAGGGAGCTTATACATCCGGGGGCCCACTCTGAGGAGTTTGGGGCCCAACGTTGATCACCCCTGATGTTAAGCTCTGCAGAGGGCCGAGGCAGGAATGTCCCCCAAAGGCCTGAGTGTCCCTTCCTTGGGAGTGGTCTCTGAGTGGGCCTGCCCAGGGAGCAAGGAGTCCCAGTCTCTGCTCTTTCCTTCAGGCGGGCTTGGCCTCCCCGGAGAACTCGGAGCAGCTCATCATTGCCTTGGAGCCTGAGGCGGCCTCCATCTACTGCCGGAAGCTGAGGCTGCACCAGATGATTGAGCTGAGCAGCAAGGCGGTGGTCAATGGGTACAGCGGCAGTGACACAGTAGGAGCGGGGTTTGCACAGGGTACCTCTGCTCTCTCTCTCCCTCCCTCCGCTCCTCCTCTCCCAGGCCCTGGATGTTTCTCCTTCTCATGATGTTGTAAGACTTAGTGCTGGAACGAAGAATCAAGATACTCCAGGAAGAGGTTGGCTTGAAGCCCCTCTGTGCTCAGCCCCCTACCCAGACTCTGAGGACCCTCATGAACTAAACAGTGGTTACCTGGCTTATGGCCCACCGAGTACCTGAGGGTAGCCCAAGAGCAGTTCTTGGCCTTCACCTTGCTAGGCTCTTAATCATTCTTGCTTATTAACTGATTCTTAATCTGATCCCATTTGGTTGTTTTTAATTCCTTCATTAAGACTGTTGATTTACTGCTGACTCACTCACTGGGGCTGCTTTGTGTGTGTGTGTAATGAGCTCGTTATGTGTCTTAGCTGGGTGTTTAAAATACAGATCGAATGGGCTGGCTTGTCCTGACCTAGGGGTGTTCATTTAGCTGTGAGAAGAAGAAACCAGAGTTTCTTCTCTGTCATAGTCACCTGTGTGCAAATTGGTGGTCCCTAGAATTCTTCTCCTGGTGTCTAGGTCTCCAGAGTTTGTAGTCAGGCCAGATGAGGGTCCCAGTGCCATCGTGAATGGGGACAGTAATGGGGAGCACTGTGTGTGTTGGCGGCCTGTGTACCATGGCACTGAGCTCTGTTCTGTTCCCAGATGAAGGCTCGGAGGGGAGACACCCTCCTGTCTCCTGTGCCCACTTGCAAGCTGCCCTAGAAGGCCCTAGGTTCAGGAGGAGGTGAGGGAAGACATCTGTAAGGATCTTCTCCCCCTTTCTGCCCTACAGCTTGTTCCCATGCTTCTCTGGGTCCCCACACTGGAAGCCTGAGTCTGTGGTCCTGGAGGCCCTGGGCCTAGGCTCACCCTGAGCAGATGCCCATTCCTGCCTCCACTATGTTCTTCTCTAGGTTCTTCTTCACGGGGATAACTGCCCCCGCCAAGTGCTGCCTCTTTGCACTTTAATCTTTAGAGTTAGGAGTCTGTAAACCTCAGCTGTAGGCTGTGGCAGGTTTGCCTGTCACCGAGCTATGGCTCCGCCTGCCAGGTGCTGTGTGTTAGCACTTTAGATCTGATTGGCCCAGAATGAGTGGAAACAGGCCTCCTTTTGAATCTGAACATTGTCTAGTAGTCCTCGGCCTCCTTAACCCGTGTAGAGGCTGGACTTACTGCTAACTAAATCAAATGCATTAATGCTTTAAATACTTGGGATAATACATACATTGTATATTAGAAAATTATATTTTCTTCTATTTGTTTTCATTGGGTGTGTGAAGATCAGGCCTGCATCTTACATGCTAATTCTCAGTTGTTCATAAACAGAAATTCACGCCAGAATCAGCTAAATCTAGCATAGTTCTTCTGCACACTCTATAAGTATAAGGCTCACATTTTAGGGAGAATCTGGTTTTGAGTGATAGCCTTCCCCGGGAGCTTGGTTTTGGGTTTCCTCTTCTTTAACATACTCTACCTCCCCACATGCTGCTCAGGGTCTGTGTCCTGTGGCTTATGGAATTTGCTGCTGTCTGCTTGTTCTCAGAGGGGCTCCTTGTTTTTTAAAATCTTCAAATAATTGCCTACCACCCCTCCATGGGCCAGTGAGACAAATGGTCTGGTGCCAAGCCTGCTTTCTAATTGGAAGGGCTGACCCTGAAGGAGGAGATACTCTGGGGAGCCTGGGGAGCACTTACTGAGGAGCATCTGAGATACTTGTAGTCTTCTTCACGGTCAGAGCCCAGTGGTTGCCATGGGGAGGATGAGAGTCTGGTCTGAAGGTTCATTTTTGGGCTCTAAGACAAGCGTTATGGGAACTGCAAGTCCCTTCACCTTGCCTGACCCGGTTTTCTCATCTGCATAGGTCAGTGATTTATACCCTGTCTTCCTCACACGCATCTCTGCACCCCAAACCACAGCAGGATATGGACTTAAGCAGAGGTTGGCTCGAGGATTTATGAGCAAGGCTGTGCTGGCCTTTGTCACACACAGATGCCAGCTTGTAGCTGAAGCGCCACCTTGTGGCTGAAGACAACATTGGCGTCAACAGAGTCAGGAAACGGCTCCTACTTCATGTAACCAGGATCCAGATTAGAAAAACATACCCCACATTCCTTGAGCTGGACAATGTTCCTTGATGTGAAATTATTTAGCTGAGTGCAATGCGGGCTGCTTGGCTCACAGCTTCTTCCCTAGGACAGCAAAGCTGGGAGGTTGGCTGATTTTATTAGCCCATTCCTCAAAAAATGTCACCAGAGGGAAGGAATCTCATCAGGGCTGGCTTTTCAGCTGGGCATAGGCCAGAGCTGCCAGGCAGATAATAGATGAAGGTTGGTAGAAAGAGCTCCTTTCTCTTGGAAGGACTGGCTTTGTGATTGCTAATGTTGTATGTATTAATCGCGTGGCTCAAGCGTCAGTAGATGTTCCATCCCTAAACCTCCTCATGCTGTTGCCTCCACTGACTGCAGATGACTGTCTGCTTCTTCATGCTTTCTTACCTGTCATCATTTTCTTTCTGTCGGCCACTAGCTAAGGAACACATACGGCGTAATCGACAGAGTCGGACCTTTTTGGTGGAGAATGTCATAGGAGAGATCTGGTCTGAGCTGGAGGAAGGTAGCGTCCTTGAATGTCCTTTGCCCTTGATGGATTTTTTTTTTTTTTTAATGCTGCTGGCAAAAATGCATTCCAATTTGTTCCATTTTTACTTTTGGAAAATGTTCAAATCAGTGGGTTTTTAAAGGCCCTTTGCCCAGGAAGAGTCCTTTTGGGAGCTGCAGTTTTGCATGTTGCAAAATCATGTAGACTCTTCCCGAGAAAGACAGATTTTGGGATTCCCCCAGTGCTGGAGTAAATCTTATTTGTGGTAACAGCAGGTAATGGGATGTGCCAGGTATGCAGCACTGTGTGATAGGAATGCTTTAGTCTTCAAGATTCACATACCTGGGTCCTCCTGGGCAAACAAAGTTGCGTTCTCTTGAGTTGTAAATTTCCCACTATGCTGCTAACTAGCAAAACCATGGTGCTAATGAGCAGTGTTGATGGTGTTTAGCTGAGTATACCAAATTATCACCCACAAGCTTGTTTCAGATGGGGCTAACAAGGGATCCATGTAAACGATGGCTGTTTTGTTTTGTCACCAGGTGACAAGTATGTGGTTGTGGACAGTGGTGGAGGCACCGTGGACCTGACAGTCCATCAGATACGGTTACCAGAGGGACACTTGAAGGAACTGTATAAAGCAACAGGTGAGCCCTGCACAGCTGGCTTTCTCATCCCTGAGCCCTTTCTGGATGGTTGCATGTCGCTCACTTCAGATTCCTCTTTCTGCTCAGGGTTACCAGCATGTGGGATTGTAGGTGATGGAGGACACTAGTGCTTTGTGCTTTGGAGAACACAGGGGAGGCCTGTTTCTCAGCCTTTGGATTCAGTTTGGGATGGTTTTTAACTTCTTGGGTTCCCATTTTGCTCTCCATTCAGGTGGACCCTATGGATCCTTGGGAGTAGATTATGAATTTGAAAAACTTCTGTGTAAAATATTTGGAGAAGATTTTATTGAGCAATTCAAAATCAAACGACCTGCAGCCTGGGTTGACTTAATGATCGCATTTGAGTCTCGAAAAAGAGCAGCTGCCCCAGACAGAACCAACCCACTGAACATCACCCTGCCCTTCTCCTTTATCGACTACTACAAGAAGTTCCGAGGGCACAGTGTGGAACACGCTCTGAGGAAGAGCAAGTGAGTCGGGCTCGCTTATAGTTCACTATTCTTCAGTTTTAAACCTGCAAACTGGCATAATAATTCCTCTTACCTCAAAGGGTTCTTGTGAGGATGTAATGAAATCATGAATTGACGTATGTTAGGTGCTTAACCCAGTATCTGAGACTTGGAAAGTGTCATCTGTGTGTTACTGAAAAAGAAAAGCTTTCTGAAGAAAGCAAGGGAGTTAGGTTTGGCCATTGGCCAGTGTCTAAAAGAGAGCCTGCTACATAGCAGGTTCTCAGTAAATATTTGTTGAATGGACTCCATGGGAATCTGAGTTTCTGGTTTTTCTGGGTCCTTTGGCTGCAAGCAAATGTTTGTAGCTCAGTTTGTTGCAAAATGAATACTTTAGAAGATAGGCTAAAGCTGAATTTTTTTAATTAATGGAAAAAATCATAGCTTTCTAAGAGCTTTAAAAATTGTTTTTGATAAACATAGTAACATATTACTGCAGTCAATCAAGTGTACATACCCATTGCATCCATAGTGACCTTTTTCTAATAACTTTTCTATAATGGAAACTTCAGCTTCATCATTCGGCTTCAGTGATTGTCAGTTACTAGTCAATCTCAATTTCACCTCCCTCTGGTTACTTTAGAGCAAATCTCAGATGAGGATCACCTAATCCATAAACACATTAGCCTGTGATTCTAAAGAGATAAATTGTGAATTATAACCTTAATATCATGATCACACTTCAAATTGAATAATTATTCAATATCATAAAATGTCCAGTTTAATAACATTAAAATATTTTCCAGTTGTCTTGTGTAATTTTTTTCCAGTCTGTATCACCATCCAAATGAAAGCTGCACAGTGCAGTTCTTTGATCGGCCTCTCAGACCCTACTTAATCCATAGCTTCCCTTGCTCTTTCTTCTTCACAGTGTATCAGATGACAAAACAGGTGGATTATAGGAGTTTCCTGCAGCCTGAGTCTTGCTCACTGAATCCCCACGTTGTCTCATAACATGTTCTTCTGTATCCTGATATGTTTTTGCAAATTGGTAGATTGATTTAGAGATTTAATTGGAGTCAAGGTTGAATTTTGGCAAGTCTACCTCATGAGTGGCAGTATTTCCTATCTCATATGGGGGATGTATGATGTCTGCTTGTCTCTTCTTTTGTGACGTTAGCAGCCACGGATGATCATTGCCTAGGTCCATTAATTCATTCAGGGTGGCCATGTGGTTCTCATCTTAAACTATCACTTCCTCATTTAGTGTAGTTGGAATCCTCCTGTAGAGAGTTTTCTCCCAAGGGATTTCGTTGCCTTGGAGTGTAGTTTGTACAGGAAAGAGGATAAGTGGTTGGTTCTTTCTCTCCAATGTTAAGTTTACAAAAGATTATTCCCTAGCATCATCCAATGTAGTTAATGAGCCTTATCTTGTGGAAGAACAAGGAGAATATCAGCAAAAATTCAGGGACTTAGCATGTTTGATGTATTTTAAATCACGGCAGTTATGTTCTTATTGATGCTCAAATTGTCCTACTTGGACAGTAGGACCCTCTTCAAGTTGGCTTTGAGTCGCTTTGACATGGCATAAGTAGTCTCTGACAGTGTCTTTGCCTTCTGGTACATGAGGACACTCCTGGCTCATCTTGTGCATTCCCTGCCCCAAACCTGGAATCAACCATTTCTCTAAGAATCCCCAGTTCCTTTTAGAGGGAAACAAAATAGATTTGATTCCAGATCTTCTTGCCCAGCTCCCACACAGAGCACCTGCCCTTCATGTTGAACCTCAAGTCCCACCTGCACAGTTCCTGGGACCTGCCAACTCTCTTAGTAAGGAAACTGGCCACAACCAGTCATAGTGTCACTCACACAACATCATATTGTCTCCATATTGTCTCTTGGCCTGTGCCATGGGAAGAAGCCCTGGTTGGGGAGAGCTGGCAGGTCAAGTTATGTTGCTGGGAAGCACCCATTGTGTGCTTTGCATCAGGGACTGAGGCACCACTTGCTTGGTCCCTGAACTTCAGACAAGACAGTGTACATCCTGCAGATTTGAGTAATGAATGGTCCGTGACGTTTGTTTAGTGCTAAACATTTCCCAAGTGTTTTCACAGACATGATGTTTAACTTGATCTTTACAACTTTCCCTGAGAGGAAAGTAAAGCAAGTGCTCTTCTCCTTGACTTGCATATGAGAAAGACCAGGCTCAGAGACAGTGGGGTCCAGCCATGACAGCTCCCTGCCCAGTGCTCTTTCTGCTCTACCCTGCTGCCCCGGGATACACAGTGTCTTGGATAGAGATGATGAGGGCATCCAGGAGGATTAGGCTTATCTCTGTCATGCAACTCGTGCCTGGAGGCTTCAGATCCAGCCACTCACACACATTTGTTTCCTATGTGGCAGTACAAGTGTGTCACATGAGCCTTTAACATGCTCCCATCTAACTCCCATTGGATTCAAAATGTGAGTCCTTCAAAAGACAGAGAGATCCTTCTATTTATCTCCCTGTCTCTTGCACTACAGTTGGCTTCCACCATCCCAGGGGAAGCTCAGCTACAAAGAAGAGAAACAGAAGAGGTTATGGCTTAGTCTTGAGCTTCAGAGGTCCAGGTCCTGGCAATTTGGGGATTTCTTGGTGCTTTTGATCTTGAAAGCCCTTTCTGCCCCAGTGATGTGACAGGTGTTCTGCCAGCTTCGGTGCACTGCTGTGTGGATAAGCCTGGTATTGTCCAGCCACTCATTTCTTGGTCCTTTCTGTGCCACCCTCCCACAGTGTGGATTTTGTGAAGTGGTCCTCCCAGGGCATGCTTCGGATGAGCCCTGATGCCATGAATGCCCTCTTCAAGCCCACCATTGACAGCATCATTGAGCATCTTCGTAAGTATCATCCAGGATTTGGCTACTGGATGAGGCAGAGCTGAGAAAGGACACCAACTTGCCCAGTGTCACCAGACAGTACATATGCACTTGTATTGGCAGAGGGTATAGGGGACCTCAGGCTTGAGCCCTACAGGAGCAGGTGGGGCTTGGGCCTGTGTGAGGGGGGTTGCTGGGCACAGGCTCTGGACCCTTCTCCTTGGGAACCTGTCCTCACCTGGGCTTCACTTTGGCCTGAAAAGGGTGGGAACTCTAAACCCATATCATCCTAGAGCACAGCCCCCAGGGCATGCATCTCATTTGCAAAATTAGAAATCCTTCCCTGCTAGGAGAGAAAGAACTGTCCTGTGAACCAAAGGAAGGTCTCCTGCATGAGGACAAACCATCATTCTGCTGAGTCAATGGCCCTCACCCGAGGACACCCAGTGACTCACTGGGACTTTTTTCGGTATCCAAACTCCTCATCCTCCTCCCATCCCTCATCTACCAAATCAGAATGCCTAGGGATAGGGTGAGATTTTTACGAAAACCAGAGCACCCTATTTATAACAGCCTGCCTTACTCAACAGAACCACAGGTTTGGAGAATATTCCTTTATGCATAACAAGTTCTTAACATGCTCACCACCTTGCTATTAAAATGAGATTCTACTTAGGAGCAGCTCTTGCCTTAATTCCTGAGCACACTGGCCCCAAAACTCTTCTTCTTCAAAAGACCAGTAGAAAAATTTGGTTCAACAAGCTCAGAATAAACCAGACCTCCAGTTGGCTCAGGTGGTTTTGTCCGGTCCCCACAGACTCAGGCAGCCCAGTTCCCCTTGCTTGCTGGGTTTTGGTGACATGACCTTCTCCCTTCCCCTTCCTTTCAGGGGACCTGTTTCAGAAGCCCGAGGTATCCACAGTCAAGTTCCTCTTCCTGGTGGGCGGCTTTGCCGAGGCGCCCCTCCTGCAGCAGGCTGTGCATACTGCCTTCGGCGACAAGTGCCGGATCATCATTCCCCAAGACGTGGGTCTCACTATCCTCAAGGGAGCTGTCCTCTTCGGCCTAGACCCTGCCTTGATCAAGGTGCGCCGGTCCCCGCTCACCTATGGGGTGGGTGTGCTGAACCGGTACGTGGAGGGCAAGCACCCGCCTGAGAAGCTGCTGGTGAAGGACGGTGCACGCTGGTGCACTGATGTCTTCGACAAGTTCATCTCTGCCGACCAATCTGTGGCCCTGGGGGAGCTGGTCAAGCGTAGCTACACCCCAGCCAAGCCCTCGCAGCTGGTCATTGTCATCAACGTCTATAGCGCTGAGCACGACAATGTCAGTTTCATCACTGACCCAGGGGTGAAGAAGTGTGGCACACTCCGCCTGGATCTCACGGGGACCAGCAGCACAGCGGTGCCAGCCCGGAGGGAGATCCAGACCCTCATGCAATTTGGGGACACCGAGATCAAGGCCACAGCCATCGATATAGCCACCTCAAAGAGTGTCAAAGTGGGGATCGACTTCTTAAATTACTAGCCCTGCCCTGCCCTGCCCTGCCCCTTGGATTCAGAGCAGCTGCATCTGCTGACCTCCCCCTTCACTGTCCTCCCTGGACCTGGCCCTTGCCATTGCCCACCTGAATTTCAGCAGGAAACATGGGAAGAACCAGGGCAAGAATAACGAGAGATTTTTTGAGGGTGCACTGGAGTCAGAAAAACAGTCAGAAATTAAGATTTAAGTGTGGAAATAGGAAATTCAAGGATCCTAGAAGAGCAATTAGTTTTCATAGGCAGCAGAGTGGTGAACCAGCCACCCGACCAGGGAATCAGTACTTTTCTGAAGCAGTGGCCAAGCTTTGCTGTGAACACATCTCAGTTAAGTAGAATTTAGGATGCCCTGTTGCCATCTTTCTAGATTTCAAACGAGATTTTTGAGCCAGAAGGAGTTCTTCACCTGAGATCTTCTTAATTTTTTGGTTAGTAGTCGATATAAAATGCCACCCATCTGCAGTTAGTTTCTTCCCATCATCGTGGGATTAAAGTGGTAATTCAGTGGGAGCTCGGAGCGTTTTTAGCTTGTGGGAGAGGACTGCCTACACTGGGCACTATTTTAAGTTCTTGTATAATTTAAATTCCAAGGAGGTTTGGTGAAGAACCCTTGGCTGACCCACTGGGATTTGGGGGAGCAGGAGTGGTAATACCTCATCTTTTTAGCAGGTAAAAATTTGCTGCAGTGGAACTATTTTAAAGAGCTGACTTATTCCGAATTACAGTAGTACCCTCTTATCTCTGGGGACCCATGCCAAGATCCCCAGCCTGAAGCCACAAATAGTATCGAATCTTGTGGCTATTGTGTTTTTTCTATACTTACACATCTGTGAGAAAGTACAGTTTATAAATTAGGCCCAGCAAGAGATGGATGACAACAACTAATAACAAAAATAGGACAATTACAAAAGTATACTGTTGTAAAATTTATATGAATGTAGTCTCTCTCTCTCTCAAAATATTCCTTTATCCTGTACTGTTTTTGTTTCTGTTTTTTGGTACCGGGGATCGAACTCGGGATCTTTAACTTGCGAGGCAGGCGCAGGAACCACTGAGCTAAATCCCCGGCCCTGTACTCATTTTTGACCCATGGTTGACTGTGGGTAACTGGATTCACAGAAAGTGAAACTGTGGGTACGGAGAAACAACTGCATATGTTGTGATGTGATTTCTGGAATGCCAAATCCTGATTTTCATACGTAATTCTAGTTAGCTGGGGATTTAGCTCAGTGGTTTCGCTGCCTGCTGCGCAAGCGCAAGGACCCGAGTTTGATCCCCAGTACCAAAAAAATTAAAAGAGAAAAATAAGTAATTCTAGTTAATCTGGTGGGAATTTAGTGTGAGAAAACGAGGTTGCCATTTATCTTGTTCATATCACCTAGCCCAAAAGTGTAGAGTGGCCCTCTACCTTGAAAGCATGCCAATTTTAAATTAACTCCCTTGCTCCTGCTCTTCCTCTTCCCCCTAAGAGTTTTGGCCATTCATTTTCATATTGAAAGGATTGCATTGGTGAAATATAAAAGAAGAATCTATTCCTTGAAATGATTCATTAGACTTGTATTTTCAAATCTGCTCCAAAATAATGCATAGATCTGTACTTGATAGGTTCAGCTGGGCTTTTTTTTTTTTTCCTGAAGCAGATCTGTGGCTCACAGAATTGCCTGGGTGCTTGTTAAGAGCAGGCTTCTGGATCTGATCTCTCTTTAACTGAAGCTAACTCGGAAGAGGAAGACCAGAATCTGCATTTTTTGTCTATATCACAAGTGATCGCGCTTCAGTTGGAGTTTGAGAATTACTAGCTTTAGGTTTCGTCAAAGCTGAAGCACAGATTACAGCCTGTGCCTTCCAGGGTTCCCATCCGAGATCCCTTAGGGAAGAGGGTTCACCCCTCACCTCATGCTCTTAGTGGGTGCAACTGGGCCCCCACCGAGCCTGGGGAGGGCCCTTTTAATCTTCATGGGCAGGTTCTAGGAGGGAAAAGATGGTAGGAAAGGAACCTGGAGAACAGGGATGCCTGAAGAAGTGTTGACTACATTATCTCCTTCTCCACTGCACAAAGCCCGTTTCCTCCAACATTTAGGAGCCAACTGAGGATAAAGAATCAAGAATCTGACTCAATCCATCCGATCTGTTCAAAGCTGTCTTCTCCACCTGCTGGAATTCATTCCGATTTGCAGTCACTGGAGGCATGCATAATAAATGAGTAGGGAATGAGAAAACGAACTTCAAATGCAAGTTGGATTCACAAACCCATTATCCTAGCCAATATGCAGATTTTAAATAGCATTTCAAATCTCATTTCAATGTGTCTTCTTTTTCACATTGCCTGCTGCAGAATTTTCTGCTAGAATGTGAATCATGAACAAAATACAGAACTAGGGAATATGAATTCTGCAACTGAGCTGTGGGATTGTGCATTCAGGCACCAAGGCGTATTTGCTAGGGGTCCCCTGCTGCCCGCTCTGCTTCAAAAGCTCAATGTCATGAGTCCCTGTTTGGTGTTGCTAGCCATAGTCTAGAAATAAAACGTTTCAACTTAGTTATGAGTAATATAATTTTAGGTACATACAATAGTAGAATCTTGTACAGAATCTTTATTTCTACAGTGTGCTTTTGTTTAAAAAAAGGAAAATGCTTTTTAATTTTTGTTGCTGATATTGCTACCCTTAATCTTCCAGTTTCATTTCTAAATTGCTCTCACTAATCATCAGTTTGGGCTGATAATAAGCGATGGACTGTGTACACAAGCTGAGCAATAGTCAGAAGCACCTAGGATCAGAATACTCTGAACACACGGATCAACAGCTTCACTGGACCTTTCCATAGTGCATCCTTCCCAAAGAGTCGCAGGTTATGGTTAAAGGAACATATAATAATGTACCAATTCTCCTGTCCAGACTTTGAGAGCTGAACATTCCGGTTCTGTAAGCAATGTGACTGTGCGGAAAAACTTATGAAAACTCTTTGCGTCTGGTGGGGTTGTTGAGCTCTTCTCGTGGGGCAAAGCAGTCACTCTAAGGACTAACTTTGGTCCGCTGTGTACCCCAGGGTCAAAGGGAGGAACCAAGAGGTACATAAACCAAGGTTTTCTGTTGGGTTGAGTGTAAGTTGAGTAATAGAGTCAAGCCCCTCTTTCCCTGCTAGTGTAACACGCTTCCTGTAATGCATTAAGGGTAATTCTTTGTCTGCTATTTCTCTTAAATGACCTTATAGAAATCTGCAGTGTTGGCAAACTGATGATAGGCAGGGGTGATAGTTTTCTGGATTTTCTTCTGGCCCCAAAGATGTAGCCCCTTAAGGAGTCAAACTCCTTAAACAAAATCCTTAAATCCATCCCTTTCCCTCACTGAAATACTCTAGAATAAGAGCACTGGATGAGTATACTTGGTCATATTCCTAATCTTAGAAAGTTTCTAGAAGGCCTGTGGTCCTGACCAGTTACTCAGTTGCCCTTGGTATATTATCTGATAGTTGCCTTTCTTGGAAGCAGGACTACTGGTTTCCTTTGTGTCTGCCTTTTGAGTATTCAGCAGGTATTAATACATGCCAAGTGACAGGTTACAGACAGACATGATAGGAAGAGGAGGAGCCACAGGAGTGATTTTGCAGTGTTGGCTAAGATAAGTGTAGATTACAGAGCCTGCCCCACCCTTAGAATGTTATTTAGACCAAGTTTAGCTTTTAGAGTCCAGATCTGGTTAATTGCCAGGGTAGCAGTGAATCGCATGCACCAATATAAACAGGAGTAAAAATGCATTATTAGGTGAAGATCGAATTTCACATGTAGAGATGTAATCGCTGTGATTAAGCTGCATATGTATGCTGGGGAACGGCTTAAGTGGATGACTAGTATAAAAGTTGTTGGCCATAATGTCACTAACACCTCTCATTTGCTTGGAATATAGAACGATATTTTAAAATCTCTGCCACTGGGAGTCTTGTTCACTACAAGATAAATCCAAACATCACAGAACTTTGCAGCAGTTCACAACTGGACAGGATCATATCTGCAAACTCTCTTGTCTTCACAGATGTCTAATAAAGTAAAACTCTGGATCTCATGTGGCCCAGATTTTTTTTTAACTCACCACGCTGGGTTTGTAAGCAGCTTTATAGACGGATCATTCCCCCTGCCCCCCGTCTCCCATGGAAACTGATTTCCAGGTGCCTTCATAGGGAGTATATATTTTATTAACAGTCATTTCAACAGGACTGTCCCTTCCATTGCTGGGAAGCAAGGCTCTGTTGATATTCACCGAGCCCGCTATCCCTTCGAACAGGAAGGAAGTGGTCAGCTGTGCAGGGAGAAGGCAGATATGCAGGGGTGCCTACTCCGCTGCACCCAACTGAACGTCATTTGAATCTTTGAAAGGCACGGACTGCTTCCTTGCCCTCTGGCACCATGGCGGGCACGTGAAACTGGATGTCCAAAGATGTCGGTTTCTTCCCGACTCTATCCCTGGGGTACCCTCTGAGCTGGCTCTAGAATTTTCTAGGTGGCCTGAGGCGAGGTCCAGGACTCTAAGAGGGATGTAAGTAGTGATTGGCTCCACCTGCATTCATCTGAAGTTCATTTTCCAAGAGAGCAGAGATGGAGAAGTGTGGCCAGTGCTCTAAGCAGACTTCAGATAAATGTCCTGGAAAGTACCCTAAGTGGCCCCAGGCTTCAGTTCCCTTCTCCGGAAAGGCAGGAGCTCCAGCTAGCTGTCTGCAAGGCCATCCATTCCCTGTGTTTCTGGTTCATATAGTGGCATCATGGTCAGTTTTAATCTAGCGAGATAAAGACTGGGGCCTCCTTTGCTCCTCTAAAATGAAGGTGGTTAGAAGGAAGTATGACTCAGCCTCCCCAGCCTGCCTTCTTTTTGGTATGTTGCTCCTTTACATGTCCTGGGCTCCTGGAAAAATCCAGCCTCTCACATAGGAGACAAACAGCAGAGGTGCAGGGGCTGCCTGACCCGGTGGCACATGCCTGTAACCCCAGAATATGGGGTTGAGACAAGAGGATTGCAACTTTGAGCCCACTCTGAGAAAATTAACAATTCAAATACTGTGTCAAAATTAATTTTTTTTTTAAAAAAAGAACTGGGATTATAGCATGGTGTGAAGATCCTGGGCTTAATCTTCAGGGGGTGGATTTTGAGGCCCAGGGAAGCGCCTGTATTTGGAATCCACCACGGACACAAGGCCTCAACTCTCCTTGCAGGCGCTCTCTGGCTCCTGCTGGCCCTCATGCGCCCTGCCTTTGGGCTGACTCAAGTCAGCACCATTTCACCCTCTGTGGGGCACTAACAGAGCCTGTTCCTGCCATGTCTTCAGTGTCAAACTCACTGCAGACCTCACCACCACCACCCTGCCACACACCCCGGGGAGAAGGGTACGTGGACAGCTCTGAGGCTCTGAGGCCGGACATGCATTGGGCAACTGTCTGGATTTGCACCTGGGGTTTGGCTGAATGGGGCTCAGGGGGAAGAGCCCCCAAATTTACTTGGCCCGAGTTCCTCTGGGAACCTGCCCCCTGGAGCCCCAGTTCTGAGGGGACCCTGAAGGAGAAGGGGAGGGGTGGCTCTGGGGCCCCATGGTGTGCCCCACCCTGGATGAGCTCACAAAGGCTGGTGGGAGCCCCGGAGACGGGAGGAGGCAGGGCAGTGATCCCGGCCCCCAGGTGAGAGCAGGTGAGGTGTGCAGGGACCAGGGGGGAAGGATTCGTATCCTACTCTGCCTCCCTCCCCCGGGACACTACGCTGCATGCTCTCCCCCGCCCATCTCCAGGCAGGCCTGGCTCTGGGTCCCACCCTAGGGTCCCACTTCTGGGCAGCATAGCCTGTCCCTGAGAGTTTAGAGTCACCCATTCATGTCCCCTTTCACTCCAGAACCCTCAAGCAAATTACTTAACCTCACTGTGCCTTAGTTTTCTTATCTGTAACTTGGGTATTCACCCCTAGGGAAGCTCTGGGGATTAGAGAAGAGAGCAGCTCCCTAAGCCTTGTCGGCATAGCCAGTCTTCTCTACATGTCTGGCCCTCACCTGGAAAAGGGTATGTCCTGGGGCTGTTGAGGGGGGTTGCTAAATTAGTGCATGGAAGGCTTTGAGAACAGTTCTTGGTCAGCAGGTGGTCAGCGGTGCTGGACACACATTTGCAGCCTGCTCCGCCTGACTCTAGTGCGAACGCCTCCTCTCAGGATCCAGGCACCTGATGCCAGGGGTTGTATCAGCCTAGACTTGGTCCCAGTCTTACTGTTCCTGGCTTGGTGGGGCTGAACTCCTTTAGCAACTCCCATCACTCCTGATCGGACTGTGGCCCATCCTTCTACCCAGAGGCCTCATCTCCGAGAGCACTGCTTCAAGGAGACAAACTGACTCAGCAGGGCAGGAGATGGCAACATCCACAGGATTCAGAGGCAGGCCTTGGTTTATTTGGGGTGGCGAGACTACTGGCGATCCCTGAGGTAGGAAGAAGTCTTGCTCCAAAGAGAGCATCCACATAAACTGGTATGGGCCCCCTATACCCTCTGCTATTCCCTTTGGATGCCATGGCAACTTTTTGGGACTTTCTGATCCCTTCAACCATAACGTATTCTGATTCTTTGTCATGAAGCTCTCTTGTATATTCCAGCATGCTTAGTAGCATCCTACTCATTAGATTCCAGTACAACTCATGCCTGAACTTACAAGAATCAAAAATATCTCCAGATGTTGCCAAATGTTCTGAGGGCAAAGGAGGGGGTGGCAAAAGTTATCATTGCATAAACAAAGAGGTGTATGGATGTGGGTACCTCATCTCTCTCCTCCCCAAAGGTTTATGAGCCCTACATGGGCCTTCTGTGTCTTGCTTATCTTTATAGTCCCAATTTCTGTCACATTGATTGCTATAGTATGCATATAGTTCATGATTGTTGGATGGATGGATGGAGGGAGGGAGGGAGGGAGGGAGGAACCTGCCAGGGAAGGGAGACATTCATGGACAGTGATCTGTATGTATGTTATCTAAGCTACCAGAAAAGGTGATGATCCCTATGTTCCTTCCACCTGAGGCCATCTCTCTCTGCTGGCTTTGACTGAGATGGTGGTGCTGCCTCAGTCTCAGCCCCTGGCAAGGTCATTCTTCTGCTCCAAGTTCTCTGGGATGCAAGCAGTAAGTTTTTCATAAGGGCATTTCTTTCCCTCCTTCCTTCACTAACAGAGAGCAAAATCATGGAGCCTTCCAAGGTCTTCATGAGGCAGCCGCCGAACACACCAGGATACAGTGATAAGTGGCAGCATGGAGAATACAGTCTTGTCTCTGTCCTTGCCTTGGCCCACTGTCCATATCTGTCCAGCCCACTGGGTTAGTGCAGGTGCTCCAGTTTCTAAGGCATACCCTGAAAAAACCAGTGTTCATAGCTGGGCTCTGGTAAGTGGCGAGAAAGAACGTAGACCAGATCTCTGTGACATGCATGCTGGAAGTGCTTCAAACCTGTTGGGTGAATTTTAACAAGGATAACACCGTGGTATGAGGATTGGTATAGTGAATAAAGTTGGGCTCTGTCCTTTGCTGACTGGGCTTTCTCAAGCCCTCCCCCCACCCAGAGATGACCTTATGTTCTTGTTTTTTCCTGTATCCCCCTAAGGGAGGGTGGCCAACTGCCCTTTTATTTTTTTCTGAAACTGTCCCGGCTGTAGCACTTGTCTATGTCCAGGATCCCCCTAGTCCTTGGCAGACTAGGACCATTGGGCCCCCTTCCTAAAGACTCTCTCTCCTCAGGCTTCTGGGCCACTGAGAACTCACTGCATCACATACATGTGGGTGACAAACCCAGTGGCTCCATGTGCCCTCCACGCTCACCCACAGCCATCCTTGGGGGCAGAGGTGCTTGATAGTATTCCAAGGTCCTAGCCTCGCCCTGGTCCTACTGGCTAGGTAAGGGAACAGGCTCTGGTTCTGACATACTCAGATTCAGGTCGAGCCTCTGCATGGCCACTCTCTACCTCTTCATGGTAAGGGAAACAAATCCTATAAAATGGATGTACTTGTGTTGTAGGGCACAGTAACCAGTCACCGTAAACTAGGTGACTAAAAGCAACAAAAGCGTATTCTCTCCTTGTTCTGTAGGCCTGAAATCAAGGTGTCAGTAGTTCTCTCTGAAGTCTCTAGGGGAGGATCTTTCCGTCACCCCTGCCAGCTTGGGGGGGCCCCAGGTGGCCCCTGGCCATGTCAGCATCACTCCAGCCCTCACGACTCCTCACATGGTCTCCTCCGGTGTCTCTCAGTTTATGTCCCTCAAGTTTCCTCTTTTCATTTATAAGGACACCAGTCTTTGGATTTAGGGCCCATCCTAAATCTAGGATGGTCTCATTTCTAGATCCTTAATCACATCTCCAAAGACCCTTTTTCCAGGGAGGGTCACCTTCACAGGTCTCAGGGGATCTATGTGGGGGATACGGTGCAGCCCGCTGCATGGGATACCGCACAATTGTTGTGATGACTAAAGGAGCCAGTGCACATTACTCTTTTAAATATCTTAGTCCTTAGACTCAAAGGCGCACACACACTCGTGCATGTTCATATAAATACGTAGATCAGCATAGGCCCTGAAGGTAGAGAAGCCACTGTGGCAGGGCCCCTAGGTTTCTGTGGGTTCTCCTGTGATACTAGGGTATCTGTTGATCCCCTATGGGTTGGAGGAGCTGAATGGTGTGAGGAAGCTTTGAGCACAGCCAAGGTGAGTCTATGAATTCGAGTCTTCCAGTGATGGCTCATAACAGGGCTCTGAGGTTGGGGGTTGCTGCTTTTAGTCCTTTGACTAGGTTTTCTATCCATAGGGACAAAAGCAAAAATGTTGGGCTGTAATACTGAAAGATATCTGTTTGTTTACTTTGCAGTTTAAAACCAAGTTCTTAGCCAGTATCCCTCAGTTGTTCTTTTTGAAAAACAGTTTTATTGTAACAATATTATAGTACTTAAGGTTTAGCATCCAGTTTAAATAAATAGTTGTGTTTTACCCATACTAATTGTAATGATTATATGTTATTTTGTGGGAAATGGTGAAAAATTGTCCTAGGGGTGGGTCTTGAAGATAATGAATTTACCTTTTTGTGTAATATGTCTCTGCTTTTAATAAGCCTGTAATTTCCCCATGGTCCGGCAAGAAAGATCCCAAATTGCATTTGGGAAGTGTCAAGGAAAATAAGCTTTCTCTCTAAAAAGAGGAATAATTTCAATTACTCCTCAGACTATCATTTTGGCCCATTAATGCTTTCCCCATTTGCTGTTCACGCTGACATCAGGAGCTTTGCTATCAAAGAATATGACTGTCATCGCCTTTGTTGAAATAGGCCTTCCCTCCCCAGCTCCAAGGTCATTTTTTTGCGGCCTTGGGAGGGCCCAGACACAGTGGATACAGCAGCACTGGCTGTATTAATGGCCTCTGGAAAAAAACAGCGGGGCTGGCTGGGGAGGAAGCCGAAGGGCAGGCGGCGAAGGTGGAGATGTGACGCAGGGCCCAAATTCCTTGCCAGCGCGTCTTGCTCAGGGCTGCGGTTGGTTCCACGGGATCTTGCAGGCTTTGTGCCGTTCCTGAGATCCCAGGACACCTCCAGCGAGGACAGAGTGGACCACTGTCTGCAAAGCTCCCAGGAGAGCACGCAGCTATGCAAAGACCAGCTGGAGGAACTTCGCTGCTCCGTGGCCACTGCTCCGAAGCTGAAACCCAGCTGCTCCGAGGACGCGGTCCTGCGGGAGCTGCATGAATATGCCTGGCGATACCACCCCCTGACTCTGGGTACGAGCACCCCAAACCAGCTTCCCCTCGGCGCTGGCTCTAAGCGCGCACCCCAGCAGGTCAGCCGCAGAAAGCGCAGAATCCGCCACTGCTGCAGATCTCCCAGCACTGCGTGCAAACGAAAGGCTCAGTTTCCTCTTGGGTGTAAGGGGAGGGACGCAGGCCTGGCCAGGCAGGAGCGCTGCTCTGAGCGCTCAGCTGGGCCCCCACGCTGCCCTGCCAGCCTTCCGAGCCTGGGTCCACTGATGCCAGTACCCAGTTGCTTTCTGTGTGCTCCCTTAGGTACTAGTTCTGGGGGAGTTTTGTTCCGAACACAAACAGTGACAACAATGATGACTTCATTATAGCAGAGTCACAACAATGATTCGACCCAGGTTACTGTAAAGCCTAAAAGAAAGTAATAGCCTGATTGGCTTTATTGTTATAATTATTTGGGGGACTTTTAAAGAACATATGACAACTTACGTGTTTTGGTTGCTTTAAATTTTTTCAAATAGGGCAAAGATTTAGCCCAGTTTGGGATTTAGCCCAGCTCTGTAACTACTTGCTGTATGACCTAAGGCAACTTGCTGCCCTTCTCTGGGCTCCAGTTTCTTTGTCTAGGGCAAGGGCTACATGCTCCTTAGGGTGCCTTCCGGCTCTGAGGTTCTGGGACTCAGTGGCCTCAGTGGCCTTCCAGCAACTAGAGGAGACAGTGGGGACTGTGGAACTGGCTCAAGGTCACCCAGCCAGCCAGAGTCCCAGTGAGGACCTAAAGGCAGGTTCCTGGTACAGCTGAGTCTGTGTGTTTTCTCCTGATTCCCCGATGCTTCTCTTCTCCCTCCAATATGTAAAGCATCACAGAAGGACGCTGGCAGCTTCTTCGCCGGCCTGAGGGAGAAGCAGGGCCTGTTTAAGAGTGAGGACGTGGACCTCAGACAGACTGGGCTTGAGTCTGGCCCTACCAATCCCTGGTCCTGTGACCCTGGCTGAGTCTCTCTGAGCCTCTGGCAAGTCTGTTTCTTCCTCCATCTATTGGAGGGAACAGTGGTGAGAAAATGAGATGATTTTACATGCCTGGGCCTAGAGCAGCTGTTGGGTGCCAGTGGGCTCTTGGGCTCTGCTCACTCTGCCACTCTCAAAGGCCTTCAGGAAGCATGGTGTCTCTTTACAGAATGCAAGAGCATGAAGAAACCTCCTCAGGAGCCCCCAATCCCTGGCTGGGCGGCCTTTCTGCCCCGAGCCAGGGTCACTGAGCTGGGCTGTGCCACAAGGCACACTGTCATGGCCGAAAACTGCTCTGAAGACTTCCTGGACATCAAGGAGCGGGCCAACAGGGCACGTCAGAAACCTTATGAGGAGTAAGTGCGGCTTGGGTCACAGCCCCAGGCAGCACGTTGAGGGAGAGGAGCGGAGCTCGCTGGGGTTCCCGGGTGCCACCTCCACACTGAGACTGCCCTGGGGTGACTAGTTATACGGAAGGGTCTCACCTGTCACTGCCTTGCTCTGCTCCCGCCTGTGCTCAGCTCCCCCAGCTCCCTATGGGGGTCTTGCTATAGGATGGGGCGGGAGTGAAAACCAACAGGGCCACCTTGTCCCAGATGCTGAGGGAGGAGGTGGAAGGTAATACCAGGACACTGCATAGGCCGGTTCCTGTGGCCTCAGCCTCCCATCCCATAAGATGGAGACAGTAACTCTAACCTTAGGGCAAATTCTAAGAATTAGCAGTAAGTATACCATACTCCCCCAGCACCTGCATGTATGATGTTGATTCTTATTTTATCATTAAAAGAAATGACCTTCTGACTTTTGGGCTTCCTTTAGACTATATGGAGGTGGCTCCACGCAACCTCCTGCTGCTTCTCCCAAAATTTTGCAGCATGAGGGGCCACTGCCCAAATACCCAGACTTCTCTATTTCAGGTAAGGGAAGGGTCTTTGCCTTCCTACTGCTATTCTTTCTTTCCTTCCTTCCTTCCTTCCTTCCTTTTGTTTTTTGTTTTTAGACAGGGTCTTGCTACATAATCTAGGTTGGTCTCAAACTTGCTTCCTGCCTTAGCGTCCCAGTGCTGGAATTACAGGTGTGGTCCACCAGTCCTGGCCTATTGCACTGGGAGGTGAAATTAAAGCAGAACTTAAAAGAAAATCAATTCTCTTAGCTGAAACCAGTCCAGCAGCTCCCCACTCAGGTTCCGCCCCCCCCGTAACTGCTGACTTCCCCTAGGTACTCTTAAGGTAGACAGTCATTTCCTGTAAATAAAGTTTTGTAACCCTCGAGGAACCAAATGCTCTGTAAACAACTATGTTCTGAAAAAGTTTACGACACCCTGTTCTCATATGATTCGTAAGACACTCTCTTCTTACGAGGCTGAATTATTAAACTATGTGCCTTTGTCCTGTTCTGGTAAACTCACTATGTCACTAGAAAGGCCAACCCCCCTTGGACTAAATACATAAAAACTAGAACTTTTCTATGTTCAATCGCTCAGCCTTGGGACACGAGTCTGATGAAGCCAGTGTTCACCTTAAGTAAGTCCTCCCGATTCCCATTTGGTCTCTCTTGTCCCTTAGAATTCTGCACAGAATGTTTGGAGAGACTGCTCTCCTCAGCTGGCACCTGCCTGCTACTCAGGAGGAGGGGTTTCTCTTCCAGGTGGAAGCTGCTCTGCTCTTGGAAGACCCCTGAGTGAGGACCCCAGAGCTCCAGTGACATGCGGCTGTGCTCAGACACCAAATATGTCGAGCAACAGGAAGATTTATCTAGAGCCACTGTCCCCAGCCAAGTATGCAGAGAGCTAGAAGCCTGCAGCCTTCCCAGGAGAAAGGAAAGGAGGTGGTATCAAAGCCTGCTGCTCTTATCTCAGAAGCAGCCTCTTGCCCACACCACAGTGGGCAGCGAGGAGGTTGAGCAGCAAGAACTCTTGACTTCTGTCTGCCTTCTGTTGTCCTGTGGGAATAAACAGGACCCTTCTCGGAGGGCCAGAGGATCTTAGGGTTGTCTTTCCCAGGTGTTGCTGACCTTGAGAAGGGCCAGGGAGAGTCATCTCTTTCTAATCCCTGAGATAAACTTCATAGTTGGGCTGGGCTTATCTCTGAAGCCCCCAGCCCAGCCCCCTACACAGTCTGTCCTTGTCAGCTATCCTGTTCCTGGCATGCTGGCATGACATGTCCTCAACATTGGCATAGGTGCCATGTCCACCCTACCCCTGATTTTTAAGAATCTCATTCTCCAGGAGGCTCCAGCTGTCAGATACCAGTCATATGAGTTTTCCAGGCTGCCCTAATAAAGTACTACATAATGAGTGGCTTTGGACAATAGAAGTTTACTGTCTCACAGGCTAGAAGTCCAAGATCAAGGTTGTTAGCAGGGTCTCATCCATCTGAAATGTGAAGAGGAGATGGTATTCTTTGCTGCTGTCATGGCTTGTGTTTAGATGGCCCCCAAAGCCTCATACTTTTTCTAGGTAGCTGAATCTAGTGTGTGATTGATTCATGCTGGGGCCTAGCCCAGGGGACTGGGACTAAGGGTACGAGTGCGACCCGCCCTAAGTGGTCCGAATAAGATACAAGGGCAGAAAGACGCGGTTAAGGTCCCTTGTTACCTTTGCTACCATGTGCGTGCCATGTTGTTTCTTCTCTTCGAAGCCTATGTGCCATCTCTGCCTTGGAGGCAGATTATGGGCTGATTTCAGCTGATTATGGGCTGAAACATCTACAAACTGATCAAATAAACCCTTCCTCCTTTAACTTTGGATGTCAGATAATTTGTCTCAGCAACAAGAGAAAAGTAACTAACAGCTGCGTAACTGTAATCTCTGCCCCCCCGAGTTACATGCTGTAACTTGGGTGTCCGTGCCTTCTCAGAGGTATCCTCTACGAAGACAGAAGTCATATTGGATTAGGAACCTGCTGTACTCCAATCTCACCTCATCTTAACTAATTCTACCTACAATAATCCTATTTCTAAATCAGTTGCATTCTGAAGGGCCATTTATATATTTGTTAAGTTTATTGGTACATTTTAGGTATACAATATGATAACATTCATCACTGGAATTTGTACCTGTACATAATATGTCTTGGTTCTTATTTTTCCCCCTTCCCCTGCCCTACATTTAACCCCTCCACCCTTACCTATTTACAAAGACTTTGTTTCCATTTTTTCCTTTTCTCATATTTATCCATTTCCCTTCTTTCCTTTCCCCACCTCTCCCACTTCCCCTTCCCCTTTGGACCTTTTCTTCCTATTTCACATTATCTAGTATACATTTTGATTGAAGGCCCTTTTTTGAGGGTTACCTTTCATCCCATGACACTGACCGCTTGCCGCTTGCCCTAACAGGCACTCTTCTGACTCACAGGGCAGCGTTCAGCACTTGGAAGAAATCAGAAGGAGCTCTGCAGCTTGGCATGGGGTGGGTGTGGTCTAAATACGAAGTGTCTCCCAAAGACGGAGACACTGAGGGCTTAATCCCTGTTGTTTAGATCTAAAATGCCCACCCCCGGAAGTCTCCCGTGTTCAGAGGTGGGGCTTTTGGAAGGTGATTGGATCATGAGGGTTCTGTACTTATCAGGGGATTAATCCATTGCTTTTGGGCCCACAGCTGCATATGGTGTAGAAAGTGGGACCTAGTTGTAAGAGGTGTATTTTTGTCCTTGGCTCCTCCCCTGTCTTTCTGCTTCCTAAGTGCTATGGGTTGAACAGCTTTCCAGCATGCCATTTCTGCCTCGAAGCCGGCTGCCATGTGTAGGTTGAACCTTTGAAAACCAGGAGGCAAAATAAACCTTCCCTTCTGTGTGGGTGTCAAGTATTTTTGCCCCAGCCACAGAAAAGTGACAAATACAGTTCTCAATACAGCCGTGTTCAGAGGCGGAGCCTAGAAAAGTGATTGATTGGATCACAAGGGCTTTAACTTCATCAGTGAATTAATCACCTTTATGAGATCATAATTTTGATGACATTGGCGGTGGATGATGGAAACTGGAGGTGGGACTTAGTTTAAGGGAGCCAATCATGAGGACATAACCTAGGTAAACTCTGTCTGGTTCCTGGTCACTGTGTCACTCTTTCTCTCTCCCTCTCTCTCTGTTTCCTGGCTGCCATGAGGTGAGCAGCTTTCACTTCCTTGCCCTTCTGCCATGATGTTTCTTCCTTGCCATTGGCCCTAAAGCAATGGAGATGTCCAGCCATGGACTGAAACCTCTGAAACCATGATCAAAATAAACTTTTCATACTTTAGGTGTTTTTCTTAATATTTTGTCACAACAATGAAAAGCTAAAACAGGGGCCTAAGGGACCATTGGCATCAAATAGTTCAAAAGTGCACAGGGTAAAACTGATGGGAGTTCTTCCAAAGGCAAGAACTTTTGTCTGGGCTCCCTGCCTTCCCAGGGTGCCATGGGTCAGAATCAGGAGGATGGACAACTTTGCTGAGAAAAAGGTTCCATCTTTGTTTTCACAGCTCTGAAAGTGTAGTTTGGTATTTCCTTCATTAATAAACATCAGCAACAGACACAGCAGGACCTGTCACCTCAGCTCCAGAGAAATCAGGGATTTTTTTATATCATATGATATTTGTATAAACAGCTAGAAATAATGTTAATGTTCATCTCTATTTTACAATTATAGTGGTTAGTAGAACTACTATTCTCTAATATATTATTCAATATAGGAAGAAAGAAACGCTTCTGTAGCTATTGCACACAAATCTGTCCTTTTTAATGTTTGATAACATTTCTTTTGTAATCTTACATATTTTACTGTGCACATTATTCTGAGAAAAGGCTTGTAGGATTCACCAGACAGCCTGAGCTCCCAGAAATGCTTAAGGACCCTCGAACAGAGAAACAACCAAGGATGTATAGAAAGGGCGACTGTCTTTACAAAACAAACAAAGCAACAACATCATCTCAGCGGGATGTGGGATTACAGTATAGATGATCATTTAAAAGATGATGTGATGGAAGAATATTTAGGATACAGTGCATGAAAACAGAAGGTCATATAGTGTACAATAGCAGCAAAGCTATGTGCATACACAGACACACGCAGTGTAATTGCATTTTTTGTTTAATTGAAAGGGAGAGCTAACCTCTAACGCTAACAATGGTCATTTCATTATTGATGCTACTGGTTTTCTTAGTGCTTTTTCTGATTTTTCCACAGCCAGCAGGTATTGCTTTCATAATTAGGAAAAAAGGTTATCTTAAACATCTTTATTTGAATTGACTAAAAGATAAATTAAGCTTTTGGAGATTATATATTTAAAGGGAAAAAAGTCACACCTCAAAAGAAGGTAGTTGGCATTCTCTTCAAGGGACTGGGGCAAAGGTTGGTGATTTTTTTTGTTTTCTTAAAACTGTGGAAGAGTGACCTCATACTCCCAGAAAGAAAACCAGGAGATGGACTTCAAACTGCCACGGGTCACGTGGCCCAGCCAGCTGAATCTCTGAAGTCCCCTCAGAAATGAGTGACATGGAAGGCAGGTCTGCTTGGCCCCCTTCCTCAGACCCACAGTTTGCAGATGGCTGCATGGGGTCAAGGCCCTGGGGTGCTGGGACTGCTCTCATCTTGCTTTTTCCACAGTCATATCATGCATCGGTAATTAAGTCGATGACTAATTCATTTTGCTCTAACTTTTTTTTTTCCCAAAAAGTCCTTTATCTGTGAGATCAAAACCAAACCAGGGCCGAGGATGTAGCTCAGCAGCACAGCACCTGCCTGGCAAGCATGAGGTCCTGAGTTCAATCCCCATCGGTTCCAAAAACAACAACAACAACAAACCAAACCAACAACAACCACACAGGAGCAGGGATAACAAAGGTAATTTAGAAAATTCTTTAACATTGTCTACTTCTTCTACAACTTCCCGATTATGATCACCAAGGTCAATGTGCAAAGCTGTAACTCCTTTTGTTCGAGCAGTTCCATATTGTGGTTCTTTTCCTTAATCTTTATCCTTTCTCTTTCTCCCTAGCCTGTAATTTCTAGACTGTTGTCTGTCAGCCAGGGGAGATATAGAGAGGTGATTTCACTGCTCAGCAAATTATTGTTATTAGCACAAGCTGCATCCGTAATGAGTTCATTCTTGCTTCTAAAAACAATTCCATTACCTGATAAGACAAAATTTCCTGGGCTAACCGGACCTCTTGTCAGGACGATTAAACCTTTAGGGGTCACTTTTTTCTTTCTATGCAAGACAGCCCCTGGAAGCCAGCACCGGGAGAGGACAATGACATTCTCCATCCCCGCTCCATATCCCAGTGGTGACCAGCTGGCCCTAAACAGTATATCAATCATGGCTTTAACCTTATTTAGGCACAGCTGTGAAGTGTGGGAACGGGGCAGGCTTCCATGGTACATATCTCAATTCCACTTTTTTTTTTGCTGGCTGTGTGACTCTGGTTACTTTCCTTAACCTTTGAGCATCAAATTTCTAATTGCAAAATGAAGATAACAAAAGAGGCTACCTAGTAGCATGGTTAAGAAGATTAAAACAATAAGCAGGGGTGGAGCAGGGTGAGTAACTTAGTGGTAGAGCATTTGCCTAGCATTTGGGAGTACTTGGTTGTTTTGATCAGAGAGAGAGAGAGAGAGAGAGAGAGAGAGAGAGACTGAGAGTTAGGGTCACATAGATAATAAGTGGAAGACCCAGGCAGACTGAGGCCTGGTCTGTATGCTTAACCTTTAAAGCACATGGATCTCCTCCTTGGCCGTTTTCACAGTACTATGAGATACTCGTAAATGAGTCACGGTTTCACACAATCAGTTCCAAAAGATAAAATAGATGAGAAGACAAGCAATAGGAATACAGTGTAATAAACTTGAGTGAGGGACCCAGCACCACCGGGTTAGGATTGTTGCAAGCCAGGCTTTTAGGGGTCCTCCTGCCTGTTGGTGCCACCTAACTGCTGAGTGATTTTTTTGCAGGAAATTTAATTGCTCCAAGCTTCAGTTTTCTATTATAAGATGATGCTAACACCTTCCTCCTGAGCTTGTTTTAGAGGATTAAATGAAAAAATGCACACAAAGGGCTTAGCAGGACATTTTGCAAGCATAAAATTTGCAGGCCTCCTGTTTCCTGTTGACCACAGCTAACAGCTCCTGGAAAGAAAGACAACAAAGGCAAAAGCTAAAAGGCTCAGTAAAGGATGAAGACGGGACTTCTTCATCTCCACACTCTGTTCTCAGGCCTTGCAGCCCAGCCTCCTGTCCCACTCCATGAGTTAGAAGAGTTCCAGTCTTGGCTTCTTTCTTCCCAGAAGGCCTTTGGGTTCCTTGAGCAAATTACTTCTCCTGAAAGCATCCCAGGCTTGCCCTGCTGCCAGGTGAAGGGTGAGCACTGCTATTGTTGGCGATGCTGACCCTGAAGGCAGAACCCCCAGCCATCTGCCCTCTCCTGGGCAGCCTCCTCTTTGCAGCTGATGGGGTGGGCAGGGTACTTGAGACCCTCTTGGGGCTCCCCAAAGCAGTTCTCCTTTCCAGAAAACCATGCATGTTTACATTCAAATAGGGTTTGTCTGGATTCTCCAAAGAGTGGGAGGCAGCAAGCGCCTCACCTCTCCTGAACTGCTTCGGGCACCATCTGGAAAGGGCCCCAGCCTGATGTTCTTCAGCTGTCATTTCTGACAGGCACCATCCTGAAAGCCACACAAGGGAACCCTCTCTGGGTCTCTCTAGCTTCAATGGGGCTCTCTGCCTTCCACAATCTCAGACCCTGTCAGGCTCTGGGCTCTGTTAACAGTGGCCTGAAGCCACTTCCATTTGCTGAAACTCACTCCCACATTTTGTGAGCATTTAAAGTATTTGTCAGTCTAGCTCACTAATTGCATTTCTGATAATTTTATAATTCCTGTGTACATTTGTTACATCTGCAGCTTTGAGAAGTTGGGGTTGTTTTGCTTTCTTGTTCTTTTCCTCATTTTATCTATTTAAGAGCACTGTGAGGACCTTTTTAGCCAATGTGTCTGAAAACTTCTTCTATTACATTGATTGTCTTGAAAGCAGCATTTTATATGAGTGCTATCTCAGCTTCCTGCTGTGAAGGTCATAAATCACTAAGGCCTTCTTTCTAAGCCAGAGTTGAAAACGTTTTTTATAAAGGGTCAAATAATAAATACTTTACGCTTTGTGGGTCATATGAGCCATTTTAGTAGATGTTAAAGTTTAGATCTAAAATGGCCCTAAAAGTTTCATGTGTTTGGAAGGTGACTGGACTCTGGGGTACAATTCTCATCAGCGGACTCATCCACATTCATGGTAGCTGAATGTACCATGAGGAGGTGGGGCCTGGTTGAAAGTCAGTCACGGGGTATGTGTTCTGGAGGGGAGTACTTTTGCTTCCTGCTCCTTTTTCTCTCTGTTTCCTGGCTGCCATGAGTTGAGCACCCTTTCTTTGCCATGCCCTGTTGCCATGCTGTTTTTATTTTTTTATTTTTTTGGTACCAGGGATCGAACTCGGGACTTTGTGCTGGTGAGGTGGGTGGCAGAACCACTGAGCTAAATCCCTGGCCCTTTGACATGCTGTTTCTACCTTGGAGTCAGTGGACCAGGGACTGAAATCATAAGCCAAAATAAATCTTTAAATTGCAGGCATTGCATATTTTTCGGGAAAGTGACTAATACAGCAGGAAGGCAGCTTGTGACATTATATAAACGACTGATAGCTGCTATGTTCAGATAAAACTTTGTTGATAAACACTGAAATTGTAATTTCATATAATTTTCATGTATCATGAAATATTCATCTTTTGAATCTTTAAGAAGCCATTAAAAAATGTGAGAGTCATTTTTAGCTGGGAGGGACATACAAAGAACAGTTGGCCGTAATTCACCCACCCCTGCCATTAAACCACCACTCAAGCACGATGCTAGCCAGAATCTAGTTGTGATTAATTTTGTTTTCAGTGTGGGTCAGGCGTGCATCCCTTTGAGAAACACCCCCTTGGAGGATTCCAGAAACAGAGTCTCCTGCAGCCAGAGCATTGAGAATACAGCCCAAGCCCACTGCCAAGAGGGAGGGGGCAAAGAAAGATTTGAAGCTTGCATTAGCTGGGAGTAAGCCTGCAATGGCTTCAGAGAAAAGGCAGAAACAAAGGCCTGAGAGAGTCTTTTCATACCCTGCATTAAAGATAAAATCTAATTTAGATGAAAATGGATGCATAGAAATTAAATGTGTGCGTGTGTGGTTTTTGTTGTCAAGCCATATATCCTGTAATGATAGCTTTACTAAATTTATTCCCTTGCCTTGAAAATAAAGATGCTTTTTGAAATTTGATTTTGTTGTTTTAGCTTTGTGAATAGTACAAACTTCATTTCTGTCCTGCCTCAAACAAAAATAGAGCATTAAAGTGTTTAAGATGCAATCAAAGGCTTGCTGTGAGTGGTACAATATTAAAATAACAGAAAAATCAATTCAATTTTTATTTTGAACATGATTTGTCGCAAATAGCATTCTAATAGATAACGCTGATTATATGGTAGCAAATGTAATTTATATATACTGAGCGCTGGGCCTTTGTCAGAGTCATCATTAAGGAATTTGACGCGTATGCAGGAGAACAATAAATGTCAACTGAAATACATACCAGCTAGATATAAATGGGATGCTGAAATGCATGAGGCTGGTACACACTATACTTATAAGTAATAATATGCAGTCTAAAGTAGTTTGGGTTTTCAAACAGAAACTCTTTTTATGTTGTCATTTAAAATATCTCATATTTTGGAGGTCAGGAATAAATGGCGCTATTAGCATTAAAAGCTAGTAAAAGAGAAAGTAATTTGTTACTCATTTAACATAACATTTCATGAAATAGCTTTGTAAAGTATTCATCCGCCCCCCCCCCCCGCCAAAGGCTGAGAAGACAGGATGAAGATGCCTGATTCTCAGCAGATGACTTAAAAAAAAAATCACACTTTTGTTACCATTAACATCTTGATTCAGTAAAGACTTCGTGGAATTATGAGTCTCGTGCTCGGGAAGGTTAGTGGCATGGAATAAAGGCTGAGTACATAACTGTGGTCTCTGCTGGTCCAGCAGGGTTCTGCCCAGGTCTGCATCAGGAAGGCCATTTGCTGCGGGGATGACAGTGTGACACTAGGGACAAGTGACGAGGCCGTCAGGAAGTGAACATGGAGGGTTCCTTGTGCCAGAGAAGGGAGGCTCTTTCTGTGGGTCTTGGGAATGGTGGCAAATAAGTCAGGATTTGAACCCAAATACAGACATAGGAACACCACGGGGGAGTCAGCCGTAGAGAGGCACCCAGTCACCTTTCACCTCCACAGGCCCTGGGCTCCAGACGATGCCAAACTTCATCCACATGGGCTCCACGCAGCCCCCACCCCCAGGATCAGTCTGTGTCTCTCTCCTTTTTCACTTAAATTTGGATTAAAATTACATAAAAATTACATTAAAAAAATCAACAAGCACCATTATAACTACTAGGAATTTTGAAGGATCAACTTCTATCTTGTATTTTCTTGAAATCCTTCTGTAATAAAAAAGAAATAAGACATTAATGGTCATTTAAAGTGTCCTAACTTGTCTTCTGGGCCATGGTTTGACATTTTGAACCGTGAATGTGGTGAGTAGTAGTATTTTGTGTGTGAAGATGCACAAAGAGGATGTTTCTATCCTAATAGTATCTTCAGGATGCTTGCTCTTCTCTTCAAGGGGACATTTTTGGGATCTACCTATGTTGGTACATATGGGTTGTAGCTCATTCTTTTTCTTTGCTAAAGTTATATTTTGGGTAATTTGATGGGCTTGAATGTTATTTCCTTGGTTTCATTTGCATTCCTCTAATTACTAGTGAGGTTGAATCTCAAATATTTATAATTTAGATTACCTCAGCTATGTTTTGGATGTGGTTTTCCCTCAAAGCTTCCCATGCTGGAAGCCAGGTCTCCAGTATATTGATGTTGAGAGGATTTTTAAGAGGTGGGGTATAATGGAAGGTGATTAGGCCATAGGAGTCCCACCCTTGGCAAGAATTACGTCCTCTATAGGAATGAATCAGTTCTCATGGGACTGCATTAGGTCCAAGGAGATTGGGTGGTTATAAAGTGAGTTTCACTTTCTTGGCTCTTTCTTGCCTTTGTTCCCTCTCATACATGCTTCTGTACCTGCCTGCTTACCTGCCATATTGTGACACAGCCACAGGGTCCTCACCAGGTGGCAGCACTGTGCTATCAGAAATTACCAGTCACCAGAATTGTGAGCCAAATCTATTTTCTTTGCACATTACCAGCACGGGGTAGTTTGTTAAAGTGACATAAACAAAGCATCCTCGATATGGCTTACCCTCTCATGTTCTTTGTCCATTTTTCTGCTGTGTTATTCTTTTAAATATTCTGAATTCTAGTCTTTTGTTGTGTCCACTTCAAATACCTTCTCTGAGGTCATGGCTTGTTTCATTTCTCTGTCTTCAGTGTCTTTCTTACGCTTAAAGAATAACTCAAGCCAGTCAACCCTTCTTGTTTCACTGAGAGGCCCTATGGCATGTGCTCTGCATGCATTGCCTCATGTTTAATCCTCAGCAGCCACCTTGTGTGATATGTAAATTGCATAAATATCTCCAGTAGGAAAATTTTGGAAACTATCTACATGCTCCTCAACAGGTTCCACCATCTATACCATGAGTATCTAACAGTGGAATCTCTGAACCCCTATGAAGAATGAAGAGGCTCTTTTTGTGCTGCTAGAGAATATATTCAGTTTATTGTTAATGAGAAAAGCAAGCTGCACAGCACTATGTATAATATTCTACTATTTATGCTTGGACAAAAACAGTATGGCTGGGGTGAGGTGTGTGAGATAGATACATATGTATACGCAGACTATTTCTGGGAAAAAAAAAACCCTAAGCTGTCTCTGAGGAAGAAGAACTGAGACAGTTTAAAGACACAGGTAGAAGGAGACTCGCCTATTATAAGAATATGCAGCCGTATTATTTGAATTTTCTTCCATGTGCATGTATTAACTTATAACAAGCTCTTCCTTCATGCTGTAGGTGGATTTCAGCAGAAATCATAACAGTCTGGAGTTACACATGTCTCTGGCTGCTTTTATTCGATGTCTGCCTCCCACCCATTAGATGTTAAAGATTGGGTGGGCACTTGTGGGAGCAACAATGTCCCTTTAAAACCGCATAGCACTTTATAGTCTAAGGGAATCAAATATGTGAGCACAGGCCACAAAAAGTGCCCTGAAGAGAGCCACATGGTGGAGGTGGGTGGGGGGAAAATTCCAGACATCCCTTGAGCAAATTTGGTTCCACTCTCAACAATCATTTCCCAAATGTGACTGCGGAACATGGAGAAAGTTGAAATAACACCTCAACCTCAGACCAAGTACACTCAGCCATTTATTACCACCAAGAGACAAAAGCTGCCCTGTGCTTTTAACAAGGGAAAAGAGACTGTAAGACGTCTTCTTGCACAGTGTCGCTGCTGCAAAAATTATACCTGTGGAGAAAGAGTTACAGCATGAGGTTCTTTTGCTGGTGGAGATGCAATGTTTAGTAAGTCAACAGTACCCCCCCACACACTTTGACTGAAGAGTTTTATGGGCTCTTAATGTGCTGAACGTGAATCAGCCACACAGAACCAAAGCTTATAATTGGGGTCTCAGGGGGATCTTCTGGTCTGGCCTAGCCATGAGTTCTAGTGGCCAGTGGTGTCTCAGCTGCTGGCCCACAGATGACTTTTTCTGTTCAGTCAGGATCAGAGGGACCCTCATTCAGTGCCTCTGGGAATGTAAAACATGGCAACCACTTTGGAAAGCCTTGCAGTTCCTCTAAAGGTTAAACAGAGTTAGCATAGGACCCAACCACTCTGCACCTAGGTGTATCTGCTCAAGAATGAAAACACAGGTCCACATAAAAACTTACACGTGAATGTTCATGGCTGCATTATAATAGTCCCCAAGTAGAAACAACCCAATGTCTATCAACTGGTAAATAAAATGTGCTATATGCATATAATAGAATATTATCTAGCAATAAAAAGAATGAAGTACTGATACATGTTGTTTGGAAGAACCTTGAGAACATTATGCTAAGTGGAAGAAGCCAGTCACAAAGGACTACATACTCTATGATTCCATTCATATTAAATGTTCAGAATAGAAAAACCTGCAGTCACAAAAAGTAGATTAGTGGATGCCTAGGGGTGGGGAAAGGGATGTGTAAATTGAAGGGTGATAGCTAACAGATGTGGAGTTTCTGGGATGATGAAAATGTTCTAAAATTGATTGTGGTAGTCACTGCAGCATTCTGTGACTATGAAATAGTACACTTGAAAGGGTGAATTGTATGGTATGGAAATTATATCTCAATAAAGTTGTTTAAAAAATAGTAAGGAAGGTTATCAGTTTTGAGGGGATGGAGCCTGGTCAGGTTGGGGCAATCACCAAGCCATGAGAGTCAGGGTACTACTGGCCTCCACTTTTGTTCTTGGTGTCTTTGCCTAAAGGAGTACCATGCACTAAGCCAGATTCTTCAGGACTTAGCTTCAGAATGCTGCTCCTTGATGAGGGAACCGGAGATGTGCTTGGGATATACAGGGTGTGAGCTATTTTGTGCTAATAATTCCACCCCAGCTAACTACTGTGGGATCCAGACACCTCCACAGTGCCCTGCACTGCGAGACACCATGGACTCCTCAGCCGCCATCCAGCTGTGCAAGAGGGTGGGCATCAGGAAAGAGCACGGGGTTAGGCATCAGAAGACCTGGGAGCTGGCCACTGTGCCTCACACTCGAATTCTGTGCCTCAGTAAACCAAGTAATGGCCTGTCTACTGTCACATCAGACCTTTCCAACAACACACCAAGGAATCGGGATAATTATCTATTTTGTAGCCAGCAAAGTTAAGTCACACAGCTGAGCAAGGTCTTGGGGCGTGTGTGTGTGTGTGTGTGTGTGTGTGTGTGTGTGTGTGTCTGTTTGGTACTGGGGACTGAACCCAGGTCCTTCATGTTGAGCTATATCCTTTATATTTGGAGCCAAGGTCTCACTAAGTCTCTAAACTGTCCAGGCTGGACTTGAACTTGCAATCCTCCTTCCTTAGTGCTGGGATTATAGGCACACATTACCACACCCAGCTTTTGGTGTGTGTTTGGAACATTCTGAAGTCCAAGATTTTTCCCTTTAGTTTCTCTATGTGACTTTAAACAAGATACTCAACTTTTCAAATGTCACTTCCTTGTCTTAAAATGAGAGAGAGAAGTCTATATTTCATTTGGACTCTAACATCCCATTATTTTCGGATTGTCCCCTTTAGAGGTGTCCTTTCTATAGTTCAAAAGCAGTTCCGTTCTCTCCCAACTCCTAGCAAGGAAGATTCTATTCCCCCAGATTGAGGAGAGTTCGCACTGTGAGCCAGACTGCCCTCACAGTTTACATCTCTCCCGCGCCACAGTCTCCACAGAAACCAATTTACATGAAGAACCAACTGAAACTAGCCCACAGATCCCTACTGCCCTGCTATCAACTACTTCCTAGATGTTCTCCTTGTTGCTTGAGAGGAAACTGTCTCATGTTTGCCTGTTTATTAAATACATGCCTCATAACCAATGCTTTGGCTCTTCCAAGTTAAATATCCCTAAGGAAAATATTTGATTGTGCAAAGTAAATCAGATGGGTAGATGGAGAGTGGAGATCATAGTTGGGTAGATTAGTGGATGGAAGGGAAGAGGAAAGGCTGGCTGGATGTCCGTAAGGATGAGGAAATAGATGTCTGAATGGGTAAATGCATGTACAGGACAAGACAGAAGAATAGATGGATGGGTAGATGAATAGACAAGTAGATGGCTACACAGATGTGAGTGGGCTGTTGGATATACGTATGTATGCATAGACAGACTTATACATAAATATCATCAAACTTCGATGGAATGAAAGATACGCACTCGGTCCCATGTTTACCACTCTGCACTGTGATTTGGGAAGCTCCCAGTTCGGGCCGGAAGAGATTTATCACATTGTTGTTCCACAGGAACTTAACTTTGTGGATTTCTCCAACATTGAAGTCTACGTCAATGTCACGTGTATGCCTGGCATGTGGTTTAAGGGCGCCACTGAAAAAATAGGCATAAAATATCAGCTGGGTGTATGAACACCTGGATGGCAGAATTCCACTGTTTCTCCGAACAATGGCTTCTGTTGTTGGTTTTCTGCAAAGACCTGGAATGACTCAATATACATCCAGGTACTGTCAAACACAAATATGTTTTTGTAGAACACATTTTTCATGAATCCTGGACTTGAGATTTCCACTGTTTTCGTTTGTCCCTAGAGAGAAGTGACATATTTGGGGTATACAATAACACTGTAAGTCTGCTCTTATATGGAATCACTTGGTGCGATGTCTTTTGTTTAAAGATGCATGAAGTTCAGCAGGTGCCATTTGTTAACATCTGATGTGTGGCACAGGAAACGGTTAAATTTCACTCACATGTTAAGTTATAAAAGTTAGTCCTTCTCTCTGGGACTCACTATTTTTATATGTAAAACAGATGATATTTTAAATATTTGATTAATACATGTTTGCAGTACATAATTTTCATATTCATCATGGGGAGTTGGTACTTGTATTAACATACCTCAAGTCTCTTCATTTCGCCTTTCCTCTACTCCTTCTCCACTCTCTTGATCTCTAAATCCCCTTCCCATTTGCCAAATAGCTATCTCCCTGTTTCAGGCTGTCCTTTGTTTTGCTCTTTAAACTATTTAAAAAAGAGATGATTGAGCTAAATGAGACTTCCTTCCTGCTCTGACAGTCCAGGATTCAATGGTTCTGTAGAACAAATGCCTAGGTTTATAAAGCAGTTTATACTCAATCTTTGATGAATAATCTATGATGGAATGCATAGCCATTGCCATTCACTATGGAACTTACTTGAAAATCTCATATTGTTTTGAGTCTCCATTTTTTCCAAACAAAGAGACCTTGATGTACCCTTTCAGGTTCTTTTCTCCAGACAGTGTGACTGATACCTTATACCTCCAACCTGGTCAAAGAAATCCAATCAGTTCAATGAACTTGTCTTATTGAAACAATGATCCCAATATAAGCATTATTTTTCTAAGCTCTGAATCCCCCCATGGGTGAGAGGTCAGGGGTGATGTGACTAACGGTTTCTTCCAACAGACTTGGGACACAAGAATTCAGATTCTGGGTTGGGGTGAAGAGACACTGAGGGCAGGGAATTCTATATATAGTTCAGGACAACAAACGTGCCTTGACAAATAAAGGGCAATGCATTACTGTGTACAAGTACTGTAATACAAGAGGGAATGGACTCAATGTTTGTGTCTCCCCAAATTTAGTATAGCAGAGGGGGGCCTTTGGGAGATAATCAGGTAACAGGGGGGAGCCCCTGTGAATGGGATTAGTGAAAGGTACCCTAGAGGACTCTCTTGCCTTCTTTCCACCCAGTGGGAGGATACAACAGCACACCAGCATGCACCAAAACCTGACCATGCTGGCCCCTGAACTTGACCTTCTAGCCTCCAACACTGTCCGAAATATATTTCTCTTGTTTAAATAACACTTCATCTCTGGTATTCTGTTACGGGATCCTGAACTAAGACACTTGGTTGCAAGTGGCTTTTTCACTTTGCTTCTCACTTAAGATGTCTTAAATGAGTTTTTCTCCTCAGTTCATAGAACTGCATTCTTTTTAAAAATGGTTATGCATAGTGTTTAATCTATACCATTGGGCTATTTTCCAATCGGTGGACATTATAATTTCCTCCCTCAATCTTTCGTTATTAAAAACAATGCTACAGTGAGCATCTCTGGACACATCTTATGCACACATGGTGCATTCTGAGAAGCAGAGTGGCTGGGATAGAGTAATATGCTGTGAGACTTTATAGATACTGCCAAGCTATTCTGCTTTATGATAAATACAGGATTATATGAAATACTCCATGTGAAAAGTGTTTTGTAAAGTGCCTCATTTTTTAAAATGTAAAATTCATTTGGTAACTAAGGATCTTCTATACAGACATTATGTGATATTATTTATAGCAAATTAATCTTCATTTGTGCTGTCATGTACTTTTCAGTGAGAGGCTAGATAAAGTAACAGCAACCACAAAAACAGTGTGCATGTTTGTAAGACTAGTATGATAACTGTCACTAGGGTGACTTTTGGACTTGCAATGATTTTGCGTCAGTTACCCTTAAGTTTATAGATGTGGCCCCCCTGTGCCTAGGGGTGCATAGACGTGTGAGCCAGCCAGAGCCCTCATTGTTCTTTACTGTGCTGCTGATCAGTATTATTAGTTAGAGGGGTGAATGTGAAGCCCAAGACAAATGCCATTCTACTGTCTTACATGACAGCTCAAGCTGGTTGTGGCTGAGTTTCTGTCAACTGCTACCAAAGAGCCTGACTAAATAAAGCTGGCACACCTTTTTAAATTATTTGCAAGAATTTTTAAGTGAGTAAAATGGAAACTTACGAGTAAAGTTACCACTATCTCCTGTGTTCAGAAAGTAGGTTTGTTCCACAGCACTGGTTTTCCCCTGAAACTGGTCAGCATAGTGCCCCATTGTGGGGCATCCTTCAGCTGGACAAGGGAAACAGCCGTTCTAGTTGAAAAAAATATAATTTGTCAGTTAGTAGTAGGCCTTTGATGTGCTCATTCTGTCAACCAATTCGTCTTCTCATCTGTTTATCTATCTTTACCTATCTATCCATCTACCCACTCATCTCCATCCATTCTCCCATCACCAGTTATCCTTGCACTCATCCGTCCTCCCATCCCACTGTCCACACACACATGCATCTATCTACCCAGGCCCCAGCCCAGGCTCAGAACTGTGTTAGACTGTACTTAGTACCCAACAAAAAACTTTGAAAAGTTACGGTACAACGGGAAGACAAGCCATATATAAATTTAAAATATGAAAGAGAGATGCAAGACAATGTCTCTAGGGAGATGTAAATGGGAAAGACAACAGTTATTTTTAAAAGGGGGACAAGGGAAGACAGTTATCATTTTCACTTTAATGTGAATTATTTCTCCAGACTAGTTAGTTCCCATTCAGTGCTCCCCAAGTGGGAGTTCATTAATTAGGCTTGCAAACAGGTGAGGACTTTATGAAACAGGATCTTTTCCCTCTCTCTGTTCTTTAACTTCGTATGCATCCCAAATGCATGGTGTGCATAGCTCTTTTGCAATTTGGAGAGCATAGGACAGGTGCTGAAGGTCACATCATCACACATGCACCAATAATAGCCAACGTGGCCAAGGCTGTTCACTGAACACTCACAGACCTTGGGAATCAGATACCAGGTCCCTTTGACCCTTGCTCACCTCAGAATGTCAAGGTCAAAAATTGTTTTGAAAGGAAAAAATACAAATTCAAGTGAATTTTTATTTTTGAGAACAAAAACTTAAAATCTTGAATTTTTGCAACTCTGTAATAAAGGACTCAAGTAAGGAACATCAATAGAAAGTCACACTTTTCGCTAGGTTCCAACAGAAACTAAAACCTTTGCCCTAATAGATTATTTAGGGGAAATAGAAATCTGGAAGGCACCACCTTAACCACATAATCAAAGCTCATGTTATCCAATAATGGACAAAATGCCATGAACTTAGGCACTGAGTACCTGAGTTTCTGTCAATCGCTAGCAAAGGTCCTGACTCAATAAGGCTGGTACACGTGATTTAGATAGATTGTGATTGTGACTGAGAAGGAGATAATGTCACCCATAGAATCACAGAGACATAATCAACCAATTTCAGAGTGTGGGATGGTCTACCAAACATCTTGCCTGGACTCTTCATAATTTTCCAGGTCCTCGAAGTCCAAGGAAAAAATGGGAAACTATTTGAGATGAAAGGAGACTAAAGAGATAAGACAATATATGCAATGTAATAAAAAAAAAGGAAAGAAAAGACAGAGGAAGAAAGGCAGGAGGGTAAAAGGAAGGAAGGAAGCAAAGAAGGAAGGATGTGAGGAAAGAGAAGGAAGGAAAGAGTCAAACAGCTCTAGAGAACATTATTTGGATAACTGGAGAAGTTTGAACATAGACTATATATTAGAGAATACTAGTGTATCAGAGCTAAATTTCTTGAATGTTGTTCTATAGCAGGATGTTGTTCTTAGGAGATAAATGCTGGAGTATTCGTGAGCAGAGTGTCCTAATATCTTCAGTTGAGGAGCAAAGTACATATATGCACACACATATAAAATGTTAGCAGTTGATGCACCTGGGGGAATGAATGGATGTAACGGGCATTCACGTGCTCTTTTGTCAGACTCTGTGGAGACTTGAAGTTGTCATAAAAGAGAAAGCGAGCATCCTGGAGTGGGCCCAGAGCAGCCAGCTCTACGCCTCTTCCCTTCACTCCACCCTGTCCCTGCAGGAGGCCTCAGCTTTTCCATGACCTCAGATCATTCATGCAGAGTCACACTGTCTCTTGTTCTAAGCCACAGGGACAAAACACCAACAACAGGGCCACCACCACTTTCCTGGGCCCAGTGTGACCTACCTCCTGGAACTCCTGGTAGGAGGCACAGGGGTAGCCCAGGAAGCCATCAGGGTTGAGGATGCTGCTGGAATAATACTTGTAGCTCTGTAGGTGGTTGCAAGCGACAACATTGCTGATTCCTGAGAAAGGTGAGACCATGGGAACTGGAGGAGGTCTATTTCCTTTGAAGTGTGGCCCCTTCTGACTCCCCACTTTTCATGAATGGGCATTTGCTGAGGAGGACTATTGAAGGCCAGCCAAAGCTGGGAGGGACAAGTCTAACAGCAGTTTGTCCGATGCCCCAGGGGCTGGGCAGGTAATATGAATGAGGAAGGCCAAGTGTCAGTAGGGAGGGAAATGGAGAGAGAGAGAGAGAGAGAGAGACAGAATACATAGTTGGCCCTCCTTATCTATGAATTCTTCCCTTTCCCCCTCCCCCTTCCCTTCCCTTGTGTTCAACCAATCACAGGTCAAAATGTAGTTAAGCCGATGAAGGTTATATGTGAGCTGAACACAGGAGAATTTCTCTTGTCATTATTCCCAAGATAATACATTATATATTATATATACCAATTATTTACATAGCATGTATGTTGTATGAGGTAGTATAAGTAATCTAGAGATGATTCATAGTGCACAGGAAGATATATGTAAGTTATATGCAAATGCTGCCCTGTGGTATATAAGGGATCTAGGTGGGTTCTGGCCCTGTGGAGATCCTGGAATCTCAGATACTGAGGGATGACTGAATAGGCACTGCAGAGAGACAGACAGAGACAGAGACACACAGGCACACAAAGATGGTGACAGTGGCTTTTGAAAGGATCCTACATAGCCCTGCCAGATGTTAATGGCCCACATTCTTTGCTGATTTTTCATGAGAAGCAAGGATCCTGTTTCCCATAGAAGCCTTTCCATGTTTCAGGGATGGCAGTGAATTCCCACGTTGAAGAAGTCAGCAGGAGGCCCACCCACCACTGGGGTGGATTGCATTGTGCCACGCACAGGGACCCTGGACCACGTGGGCAGGACAGGCGTTTCCCAGGGCAACCTTTTCTGCGCCTCAGTGCCCAGGCTGAGCAATTCCTCCACTTTGCTGTGCCGAGCACAAGGCAACTCTGGCTACCCTTCCAGGGCGTTTTAGTCACCATCTCTCTCTCTCTCTCTCTTTTTTTTTTTTTTTAAGACAAAGTCATTTGGTTTGGAAAATTGTTTTTTTGTTTTTCCAGCTACATGGTACAAAACTTCCCAGGGACACTGTAGAAATCAGTATGGAGATACCTCAAAGAGCTAGGACTGGAAGACCCATTTGACCCAGCTATTCCCCTGCTGGGTAACTTCCCCAAAGAATTAAAAGAATCATACCATAGTGCTATATGTGCACCCATGTTCATAGCAGCACAGTTTGTAATAGCTAAAACTTGGAAACAGCCCAAATGCCCATCAACTGGAGACCAGATAAAGAAAATGTGGGTATTTTTAAAAAAATAAAATGGAGTACTATTCAGCCATAAAAAATGAGAAATTAGAGACATTTATAGCTAACTAGATGCACACTGAGGCAATACTCTTAAGTGAAATAAACAGGACACATATGTGTAAATACCGAATAGTTTCTCTGGTGTGAGAAACTGAAAGTGTAAATAAGGACTAAAAGGTATAATAGATACTGTGAAATAGGAAGAAAAGGGCCAAAGGGGAAGGGGAAGTGGGAGGGGTAGGGGAAAGGAAAGAAGGGAATGGAATTAATATGAGAAAATGAAAAAATGGAAACAAAGTCTTTGTAAATAGGGAGGAATGGAATAAGAACCAAGAGAGATTATGTAAAGGTGCAAATTCCCAATGATGAATGTCATTCTATTGTATACCTAAAATGTACCAATAAAATAAAATTTAAAAAAACAAAAAACCCACAAAACTTCCCATGGAGTAATCCGCAGTAATCACACACTGGGGACTATTCTGGGGTGATCTGGTGGGCTGTATGTTACAGCCCTCAAGAAAGAAATGCGTTCCTTTGTGGCCAGGGTGGATTCACTATGCCCACGGCCCAGCATCTTCAGGCCGGCTGGCCAGGTTCTGATTGCCCGCAAGGCTCTCACCACCAGACAACAGAAACTGTTTTAAACTTAATTGTTTCTTTCCTCCCAAATTGCTGCCCAGGGACCCCATAATAGAGAAGAAAGTGGATTTAATTGTTCTCAGTGCCAGCACCTGGGTGACTCCCAATGCGACACAATAGAAACACACTGCAGCATTCACGGGCTTGTTCACTCCAAATTGCCTCTTTAATTAAACCCGGGCTCACTCCTATTATGTGCACCCTTCTCATCATTTCTGGGAGGGGCAGCTATTATTGTGATTCTGGGGCTCCTTCAGGGCAAGCCGAACAGCCATGTTCTCCAGAGAGTTACCTGGGGCGGGGCCCAGAAGTCCAGAGCTCCATTTATTTGTTGGTGGATGCTGGCAGTTGCCTTAGCCACCCTGCTCTCTGATGCTAAGCACACAGAACTCCATTTAACACAATGTACTTAGTGCCTGCATTGAGCGAGCCCCCAGCAGGGGTAGTAGAGTGTTTGGGTGCCCAAGACACACTCTTTCCTTAGCTGTGGGGACCTTCTAATTCAGAAAAATAAAGACAAATAAAAATGACTACAGATCAAAAGCCTCCTCCTTCAGGGAGGAAAGTGAAGTGGGGCCTCAGAAGGGGTGAAAAGAATAAAGGCCAGAAAGAAGGCAGTCATGTGACTGTATGGCTATGGATCCTGCTCTTTCGGATGAACAGAAACATGCAGGGCTTGCCAGGAACCCACCATGGGCTTCCCAGACTCAGATCCCCACAGCACACACACGGCCCAAACCCACAGAGCACATCCCACATCTGTCTTCTGATCAGCTCAGCCCCCTTCCATGCCTAGGACCTGACAATGGCGAACAGCAAGAAAGTCACAGCCTCCATATCTCTGTTTACACTCTGCAGTTCTCCAAGGAACAGGGGCTGAAGGGAGGCTGGGTGGCCAACGCTAGAGCTGGGTATTTGCCAATGTGCCCATCCAGACGTGTCCCAGCATCCTCACAACTGGGGGAGAGGATACAGGCTGGGGCATGAGATCAGAGCTTCATAGGCAGAATCAGGCCTAAACGTAGGGTGGCCTTGGACACGCTATCTAACTTTTCTGCAGCTCTAAAATGGGGCTAATGGGAGTAAGTATCGCATAGCATGGGCACTCCAGAAATGGTGGCAAACTCAATACCATGGCAGTGAACCCCCCACACTCTGCTTTCTCCCCAGATACAGCAGTTGCTGCCTTGTTTCTTTTATTTACATACCTTCCCAGAGTCCATTTAGATCAATGATGGTTGAAAGGATATTTTTGTTACATCCAGGCATTTCCTCTCCTCCATTTGGAAAGAAATCCAGATGGCCCACTGTTTGGCTCATTCCAAAACCTGAAACATGTGAAGCAGAAGGGAGCAGAGCTAAGTGGTCCGGGGTTGGATCATGGACCAGTAAGATGCTCAATTCATCCCAACAAGAGCAAGAGCCTTTTTGGCCAATTCTTCCTTCAGCACAAGTATCACCACCTCTACCTCTACAGAAACTTCTCAGATAGGAGCTTGGCAAGATAAAGAGGAAGGAAAAAAAAAAATAGGAAGTGAGATGAGAGGGAAGCTGGGCTCTGGGTGAGTACGCAGAGCTGTCAGTCCTGGTGAGGCCCTGGATAACCTAATATGCTCTGATACCAAAGACACTGATAGGCACATACCTGGTGCAATTTCTAGCACTTTGCTTATTTTTAAATTTTGATTTCCACATTATATTGATATGTTGAGATCAAATGACATTAGGTACATAGTGTTCTTTTGAGAGCCATAGCATAACGGTTGGGAGCTTCGGCTCTGAGGCACAGAAACCTGTGATTACAGGCTTCATGATCACTTAACATCAGTGAATCTTAGTTCCTCAGCTGTGAAATGGTGGTACTATCCAGTTTTTGGAATGTTGCAGGTTAATAAGCTAATGTTCAGTGCACCACTACCATTATCATCACCTTTAAAAGCATACTCTGTACTGCCACATTTCATGAGTGGATATGTAAGAAAATATCGAAAAAATAGATTTTAGAAAAATAAATAAAAGGATATATTTAGCCTCCAGCAAAAGAAACTACAACCAGAGCTTTGACAAAAGAAGAAAACAATTAAAAAATTAATTTTGTATTTTGTAAGTACAGGTGAAATGTCAATAATAAATATATCTGCCACTTTGGACCTCATAGATTGGGGAAGGTGGCAGGGTTTAAGATTGAATGATAGCCTCCTAGGGACTGCACACAGATATGTTTTGTTCTACCTGGGCCTCAGACTGATACCACCTGCATGGTGCTGGTTGTTTATTTGGGGCTGGAATCCATTCTGACTGGTTGGTACCTAAGCCATTTCTGTAGTTAGCCTTTTTGAATAGCCTCCTTGAAGGGTGTGTGTGTGTGTGTGTGTGTGTGTGTGTGTGTGTGTGTGCTATGCATGCATGTGTGTGTGTGCCTGTTTTGGGGGTAGGGGATTCTTGGACCCAATGCCATTAGTTAAAACTCTGGTCACCAGGGTGTTGGAGTGAAGAACTCACCAAAAGAGGGAATTATGGGAGCAATATCTGTGTGAATCACATCCACAAACATGGCGTCGGATGGGTCCAGTCGAACCTCCTCGGGCGTGTCCTGGAAACATGGCTCTGCTGGATCCAGCCCTGAAAGGAAGGAGGTAGACATGTTGCACTTTGAAAAAACTTGGATCTAAACCCCACACCTTCAAACCAAGCATGAGGGTTCCGGGACAAAGGGCCCCAGAGCCCAATGGCTATGGCAGCTCCCAGTCTGCCTGGGAAAGAGGCTAGGACAGAAAGACAGGAATGGGAGCACTGTCTGGAAGAACACTGGGAAATCTCTAGTCCCTGGCTTCATGCAAGATCCGAGGTGATCCTTGCACACCTCATTTCCCCTTATTTTTTCTCACACATTACCAGCTGGCCGTTGGCCTCAGGGTCTGCGAGCTGTCTGGCCTCACTCAGCTGCTCCCCAGTCCCTGAGACTCCACACTTCTGTGGTTTTGAGATTTTCCTCTGGTTGGCCCTTCCCGGACGTTCTCCCTTTCTCTACAGCTTTCTCCTCCAAGACCCGGCCGAAAGACAATCTCAGGGAAAATGTAACCACTTCTTTCTCAACCTATTCTAGCCACACTGTGTTATTTTGCGCTCATTACTTTCACTTTGAATTCCCCTTGCCTACTTAGGTTTCTGCCTCCTGTACTGGACGGGATTTCCTGAGCCAGGGGCTTGTGCCCAGATCATTTTTAAAGAGAGGCAGAGGGTGGGGGGACATGGCACACAGCCACCTATATTCTTGCCCTGGTTCTGCTCAAGGTCCAATGTTTGTCCTCATCCAGTAAATGGGAATATGGGCATGTGGACATCTGCAGTAAAGGGTTATTGTGAAAATCCCAGGCAAAGATGTAAGAGAAAGGACTTGCAAATTGAAAAGTTCTACATAACCATGAACTATTACCCCCTTGTCCTTCACTCGGTGCCTATAACAGTGCCTCCAGCAAAAGGGACCTTCATCAAAATTGAACCAAACTGTTTGGTTAAGTTCCATATTGATTTGACTGCACAAAATAAATGATTGTCCTTGTCATCCTGGATGCATTCATCTTGCCTAGTTTCCATTCATTCGTTCATTCATCCATTCATTTATTCATCGCTCAGTGTTTGCTGAGCAAGACCTATGGGGCAGGTATCAACCGGGCCCTTTCATTTTCTGCCTGTGCCTGGCCCAGAAAGACAACAAACATCTGTGGAGCTGATGAAGTTTTAAAAATCATCACACATTTTTTTTTTTTTTTACTTTGACGCACTTTAGAAATAATCCCGAGGCCATGGATTTAACATGCTATTGCATTTTTCTTGTTTCATAACCCATTTTTATTTGCAACTATTTCTAATCCACATTAAAATGCATGGACAATTATTTTTAAATGAAAGCCTCAGCACCACCTAGAGTCAGCTCCCAGAGGGCAGTGCAGGATTCCAGGCTTCCGCTGCCCCGCGCGGCGCGCCTCCCACCTACCTGTGATCCTGCCCAGGCGGCCCTCCAGCCTCCTGCCCGCCTCTGCCGCCGCGTGCGCGCCCAAGCTGTGGCCAATAACGTGCGCGTCCTCAGGGTCGTACCTCAGCTCGGTCTGCGGAGGGAGGGCGCGTCAGGCCTGCAGCGCGCACTGAGAGGAGCGGAGGGGACGCCGTCGAGGACGAGCGCGACCCGACACGCCGGGGTCTGCAGTCCGCGAGTCTGGCAACCGGCCCAAGGGCCGCAGCGGCGCCGACCGCAGAGTCCCTGCCCTGCCCCAGGTCGGGTCAGGCTTTCGAATCCCCCGCTGGAAGGATGCAGACTCCTTGGGCGGCCCAGCGAGCTCTCCTTCCCGGAGCAGCTTCGGGGAAGGGAAACCGAGCCTGCAGGAGGTTGGGCTCCTCTGCTGGGAACGTAAGGGGTGTAGCCTCCGGGCCCTCTTCGGGGACAGTCATTGGGCTACTTGACTTGCGCCAGCCCCAGGCTCTGGGCGCGGGTGCAGTCCCCCTGACCCCAGGAGGCGGCTGGCTGGCCTTACCGACAGCACTTGCAGTAAGTAAGCGACCTCCGCGCCCACGACCCGAACGTTCTGAACAGCTTGGCTGTATGTGGTCAGAGACCCGGCCCACCAGTCCACGCAGATGCAGTTCACCGACTCCACTTGGAACATTCTCTGGGGAAGACAGATGGGAATTCCCAGCATCACGCACCGCTCTGTGCCAGAGACATCCTCTTCCCTGTCACAATTCAGTGCTCTTTATAGCGCTGTGTACACAAGGTGTACACTCACCCTGCTTAACGAGTGTGCAAACTGAGGCTGAAACGGGCAAGTGTCTGGTCTCAGGTCTGACAGATGGTCACTGCACAGCCAGGTCAAAAGCCCACTTGTCAGATCAGGGGTCTACCAAGAAAATTTACTACCCAGCAAAATTTGCCGATCGCTCTAGCCCTACTCCCAAGTACTCAGGACTCACTGTGGCTAGTAGTTCCCGCTTTGGAAGGGACAAATGCAGACCCTTTCCATCAGCATAGAACAGTCTGGGGGTACACGTGCCAATATTTAAGCTTTTAAACAAAAGGTCACACAGGGATTGACTATCACCAGTCGGACACGAAAGTCAGGAAGTCTGTGCAGTGTGCACATTAGACTTTCTGACTAGGCTTTGGGCTCCTTTAACCTCAGAGGAGGTGGCTGGCTAGAAATTGGTGTGTACGGAAAATCTGGCAATGGATGCCTGAGAACCAGGCTTTCCTCAGTGGCTATAGGAAGGAACCCTGCCTCCCTGGAGAATGTTCTGTGCTGGTCTGGGGGCCTCAGGAGTGCAGTATTGGAATCTGTGTGCTGGGCATTGGTGTCAGGGAGCACCAGGAGAGCAGGGTGGGCACCTACCCTGCACATGTCTGCCAGCCAGTTCTTCTCTCCGCTGTCTATGAAGCCGTGGATAATGAAGCGGGTCTTGCGGTCCAGGTTGAAGTTGGAAGCTTCGATGGTGGCTGGGTCAGTGGCAGTGATCAGCTGGTTCAGTTAGAAAAGATGAATTTGAGTATTGGCCTTTCCAAGCCATGGGCGTGTTAGTGACAGTCCCAGTAATAGACGTCACAGTGTCAGTCCCCACAAAGTTGGGTCAGACAAGGAGGAATTCCTTTTTTTCCCCCTCCTAGAATTTTATCTTTTGTTAAATTTTAATATTAATTGGTAAATGTTTGTAGTACATAATGATCGCAATTCTCGTGGGGAGTTGGTGCATGTACACAACACATCTTAATTCTTTTTTCATCCCTGTTTCTGGCCAGGGCTGTGGCTAGAATTCAGGAAGCCCAAACTCATAGACTTTCTATTTTCCCAAACCTCTAACTGAAATCTTGTACTTCTCTTAATCATGGAACTAGGCAACAAACCACAATGGAATTAGCAACCCTCTGACTCTGTCCTCAGTTGAAGTCACGGTTTCATGTCACATTGTAGTAGCAGAACCCTGGCCAGAAGCAGCAGGCCTTAGGAGATTCACCCTAGTGGAGCCTGAGAATTTCAGACAGCCTCCGCTGTGCCCATGGTCCTATTCTGGCGCCCTTTGCCAGGACAACACCCTGCCTGTCAGGCCTTCTGGCAATGAAGCTTGCTCTCAGGGACCTTGTGTGTTTTTCTGTTGTGTTTAAAATTGTCCCTTCTCCTGTCTCCTAGTTCTTCCTAGTTCCTCACCCTTAGCCCCAAGGGCCTTCTCTCTCTCCCTCTACTGCCTAGTAGAGAGAAGAGGTAGGACTTGCTGGGGACATACCTGGGCTTCTCCACAACTGCCACTCATACTCTTCCTCCAAGGGAATAGGATGCTGGTGTTGCACACCTCTGTGTGTGTGTGTGTGTGTGTGTGTGTGTGTGTGTGTGTTTGTGTAGGTTTCTAGGTTAGGCATACATAGATCTCATCAGATATGCGAGTGTTGAAGATTCTTCAAGATCTCTAGGTCCCACATTGACAGGACAGCACCTTTTGGAAAGTTCTAAGCCAATGAACTGCACCTAGACAGCTACATGAGGGCTCCGGCCTGGGACCTTCACCTGCCCGCCATGCAGTTCCACACCCTCTCTTACTTGGTAGTTGTTCTGATTTTCATTTGTGTACAGAAGAAACCGAGTGTTAATGCTCTCGGGAGATGAGGGAAGTATATTTATAGGCCGCTGAAGGGTCCCTGCCCATGGTTTTTCATTGGAGAAGCAGCCAAGGTGGGCATAGCAGATTTCTTTCCCTGGGGCAGGAAGAACAACAAACAGGACACACGTGAGGTTTTGGAAAGAGCAATTTATCTGTATAGGAAGACTCCTTAGGTCAAAGCCGGGCCAGCTGAGGCTGGGGCTGATCTTTATCTTCGCCGACGGTGTTCCCGAAACTGCTGTGGGGATAAGAATCACTTGGAGGCTGGGGATGAATATATATCACATGTATATTACACGGGAATACCACGCTCACTCCCAGATTCTCATTCAGAGGGTCTGCTGGATACCTGGACACAACAAGTTTACCAAGTATCCCTAATCATCAGGCAGGCCAGAGACTCACTGATCTACATCCTGCTGCCTCAAAACTGCCTTAACTCCCTGCTGGCCTCGTACATATCAGATGTCATTAATATCAGTTGCTTCTCAAGTGCCCGGAACTCTGCATCACAGAGAGGCTGTGTTCATCTCCACACCTCCGTGACATCCAGCACTGGCTGTCACTTTCTCCCCAGCGGGATGGTGACAGGATCCTCACCTCTGACGGTGGCCAGCAGGAGAAGGCCGATGGTCCATGAGAACAGCATCTGTGGGATGAAAACACGGTCACATGTCTTCCAGCACCCATGAGCGCAGGCATGAGGCAGGCACGGCAGAGCCCAGAGATGGTGGGAGGGCAAAGGCACAGAAACCCAGTGGTCTGGGCCTTGCAGGACTCTCCTTTGGGGCAGAGACGCTGAGGTTGGGACTTCACCAGGCACCTGGAGTCGGGAACCCTGGAGCCTTTACAGCTGCTTCTTCCTCCTGAGCCCCACTCCCTGGCAGCCCAGTGTTGTCCTGGCCCTGCTTTGTGTGCCCTTCCCAGGCAGGGTGAGACTCTGGCTTACTTTGCTGAGCTGGAACTTCCACTCATTCCGTGCAGGTTGGCTGTGGCCTTTTATAACCAGACTTGATCCTCTGCACTCCTGTGAGGAAAGGCCAGGCAGGGTAGATAGGGCTGCTCATGGGCACTTTGAACCTCAGTTATCAAAAACACATAAAGCCAGTGCGATCTAGTGAGCAACGATGTTTAGAAAGAGAGGAAAGGAAAAACCAACTTTGGGGGGAGGAAGGGCCCTGTTAATCTGAGTTTACAGGTTCAGTTGCCAAAAGATTGTGTTCCCAAAATGATAACAGGGGAAAACACTGTAGTATCAAAATTGCCTCAGATGCTAGGACCCCACCCCAGACTCACCTGGTTGCTTTATTGTTCTTGGCAGACGATTCGGGGATGGGAGCCACAGGACCTGCTGTTCAGTGGAAGGGCGTGTTTTTGAACACACGTGCCATGTGCGCTTAGGGATGGATTTGGGGTTCTCCCATAAACCTAGAACCTAGATCCTAGACAGAGGCAGGAAATGAAGGCAACCCACAGAGCAAGATATGCTAAAGTGTAAAACAAACGCTTCCCACTCAACATCGTTTAGAATAATACACTCTGTCATTAGCTAACTTCTGAGCTGTCCTGACTGCACTTTGATGCAGACCTAAGAAGTGGAAGTTTTAAAAAATGTCTTTCAAAGCTAAGAGGAGACCCTTGGTGGACAGGCAGGTGTCTCCCGGTGGTGTTTTAAACTGTCATAGTCTGTCCAGGCTTGTCCAAACTGTGGCCCCTTTTCTTTTCTTTTTCTTTTCCTTTCAGTGAAGAGAAATTGTCTCGGGCTGCATATAAAAATGTAATAGTTAACATGTATAAGTAACAAAGCTTCAGTTTTATTTTTTGGTACCGGGGATCGAACTCGGGTCCTTGCGCTTGCACAGCAGGTGGCAAAACCACTGAGCTAAATCCCCAGCCCAAAGCTTCCATTTTAAAGATTTTTTTTCTTTTACTATCACATTAAAAAAAGAGAGGGATAAAGGCAGGCCTATCCTGATTTAGATACACCAAAGGGCACTGAGTTTAACTTTTAAAATTTAAGCAGTTTCATAAGTCTTGACAAATATGTTCTCCTGTCACTGGCTTTGCATTAGGGATAATATAAATTAAGGCCAAAGCAACGGTATGCATTTGCAGGCAAAAGCTCTAGTGGAAGGTAAGCGAAGTTAAGGAAAGGACCCCAGCTTGAGAAATAGCTGGGGCCGGTGCTCTGCTGAGGATCAGGCTGGCCCATTAGCAAGACAAAGGGGCTGTGGCGTCACAGCCCTGGGGGGTGTTCTGTTCTCAGGAGATCTTCGTCTTTCTGGCCGCTTCAGTCACGTGAGGCCCTGTTTTCTGGAGACCTGGATGCCTGCTGCCTCAGAACAAGGCTCCGGAACTTGATGTTATGGAAGTTGGTGATCCTATGTCTGTGAGTCTTGGAAATTACTTTAGTTACTCTTAGTCCGGTGGATAAATTTAGGGCTAATAAGCCTTGTTTCATTGACTTTTTCTAAATGAGTAACCTACCTATATCCAAAGGTTTAATGTCACGCAGGAGAAAATGAACATCATGCTTTGTTCTACTTTTTTGGCATTTGTAGGTCCAAATGAATAGTAAGGGGTTTTAGTAAAAAGTGCTTTTAAGTCCCTGATTGTTTCAGAAGAAATCCAAATTGTGTTTTTAATAAGAAACAGGTTAAGGGCTCAGGAGTTTGATTGTCCTTTGTCTCTATTGCGGTCTTTCGCTATTTGACCTGAGAGACATTTATCCTGTACTTAATTTTTGGGAGAAAAAGACAAAGATTATCTGTTTTTGTTAACAATGTCATTATTAACTGTTTTACTCTGTGGTTATACTTTTCTGTTGAGTGTTTAAGACTGAGTAGATAATTAAAATTAATCTCTTTTATTACTAAGGCCAGGGCTGCTCAGGTTACTTCTGGGGCCGGGTGAGAGCCTTTTGGCTCCCCTGTCCTTTTCCTTCACCGGTTTTGACATTTGCCAAGATAGGTCATGGTTTTGCAAATGCGCATTGGCTGGCATCTGGCCTCTGGCCTCTGGGGTCTCTGCAATTTCCCTGCTCAGGAGATGGGGTGACTCACCGAAGTCGCAGGGCTCCTTTGGAGCGGCCCCGTTGTTCCCTGGGTCCTGGCTGAACATGGAGGGGAAAAGATAAAATATTGACTGTTCTTTTAGCCTTTTTATATTTTTAAACTCTGGTCTCCAGGAGTTGGTTTTGAACACCCAGAAGCTCAGTTACACCAGTCTTAAGGTGGAGCCTGGGGTCCTAACATTAACTGTGGTAATTTCCCATGGATACTGAAAGTTGGCTTTATATTTTATCTGTCCTGTAGGTGATGAGCTATCATCTTAAAATACTGCTCAGGTTGTCTGCTAGAAGTCATATTCCTGCAGAAAGTTAGCAGGCAACAGAGTCTTGCAAGGAAAATATAAAACAAAATCGATAGGAGCAAAATCCACAAAACATAATCAACGTTTAGTTTTGCCAGAAAGTTGTATCTAAGAGTATTTGTTAGGATCCCCTTAAGTAGCATATACTTATTTACAGATGTACTTTCTAGGTGACTGATTTTGGAACGCACAGTGTTCAAACTTATCTAATTGTCATAATATAATTAGGAACACATAAACCTAAAAAGTCTATCATTACAAACAATTTTGGTAAGGGGAGTTACCGGTATGACAAGGAGTTTTTCTTAAGCCCTGTATTTTAGAAGGCTTGTATACTTGAGGAATTAAATGTATTTGACATACAAAGAAGTGAGCAATAATAATGTTACAGCCGAATAGAAGTCTTTTATATATCAACTTAGCTTTTATTTTGAGTCAAAATTTAGAATCTATGACTGAGTAGTATAGCTACAATCATGTTTATTTTGCATTTAACAAGTCTACAAAGTTTATCAACACTGACAAAAATCTAAGAATACCTTTAGATCGCAGGAAACAATGTAAATGATGACTGTAGACTTAGTATCTGATGGACCAGTGCGTCTCATTATTTTTGTTAAGCTAACAAAATGCTTCTGTAGGTTAAATGTAGCCAGTATAGGCCAGATTATAAAAGGCAAGATTGTCCTAATGGCAGATTTTTCCTCACCTAAATGGTACTGAGTATAAACAGCAGAAATACTAAAAGTTTTACTGACCATTTTATATGTTTAAGGCCCAGATGCAACACATGTTGGATAAAGAAAGCATTCACTGATTACTGTGCATTTATCTAACTTATATATTTATAGTTTTATAAACTTGGCATATTTAGTCCTCAGTTGTATACACACTTCTTGAGTCCTAGATATAATAACCTTAAAGTTATAGTTTTTCATTCAGCCAGATTGCAACTTCCTGCTTGTTCTCCTTTGGGTTCCTACTTCATTGCCTGCCATTTTCCCTCCTGTCTCATGCTTATGCATACACCCCAGATTGAGGTTATCAGCAGCCAGGAGTTTCTGTAGTGATTCATTTATCACCACCCCAGCCATGATAGCTACTCTGATTTCTGACCCCAGCTTTGTCTGTCATAAAATATCATGTACGAATCGATGCAGTAAGGGCTCTTGAGTGTCTTGCACATGTATCAATTAGTATTTAGTTCTATTTTTAAAATTGTGGTGTAGCATTGATATATTTCTCAGGAAAACATATCACAGTCTGTGTATCCATTCTGCTGTTTGTGCGAATGTGACTTCTTTTCAGTTTGGGGCTATTCTGAATGATACTGCTAGCTACATTCTAGTCTAGTACGGGTCTTTTGATAGACACATGCACTAATGCCTCTCAGGTTCACAGGAGAGCTTTGAGGGGTCTGATGTGGGTGCAGTTTTCCAGGGTGGTTGCACTGGTGTAAACTCCCACCAATAGCAGTTGGATGGGCTGTCCTGTGTGCCATGTTCTACTACTGGCCTTTATCCAATCCCAGAAGTATGAAAATTGCCAGCAGTTTCCTGAGGGTTTCAAATATAAAGTGGTGTGTGTGTGTGTGTAACTTCCTTCTGAGCATTGCAAGGCTGGAGATGAGCAATGTGCAGCTGATGGAGCTAAGAAATAAACTTTCCATCTCAAGCGGGCTTAAGAAACGGAACTGAGAAAGTGACAAGAAAGCCTAAATGCAGTCACCTGTCCCTCAGTGAAGCCAAAGCTTAAAATTGCTCCCCCGCCCCTGCCCTGGCAGCAAGGGAAGAGGTTAGGTCTAAGGTTTGACACTCACACACATAAGGGACCCATAGAAGGGACCAGAATGATGATATTAGGCAGAATGGAAGCCCTAGGCCCACCCCGTGGGACCAGCGATTGCCCATAGCTCCCAAGAAGCATCCAAGTCCTTACCATGGCTTCTGGGGTGCAGCATTATCTGGATCTTGCCTCCCTCTCACCTGTGTTCATTTCCTCTGCTCACCAAACTCCAGGAAGTTCCTTGAAAGTTCCTATCTTGTGTATTTGAATATTCTGTTTTCTCTCCTAAAATATATCCCTTTCCCTGCCCAAGGAAGTCCCCCTTCAGGGCCCAGCTTATGAGATCCATCCTCAGGAAGAACTCTCAGGTCTAAACCAGACCTTCCTTAATGTCTCCTATCATGTTCCTTAATTTTCTTTTCATAGAAAGGCTCCCACTTGATAATTACGTTTCTGTGATTATTTACCTAGATATTTCCTCGATAGCAAGGTCGAGGTCTGTAGAATTATTGCCAAGTTGCCAGAGCCTAACCCAGCAACTGGCCTGTCTTATGTGATAAATAAATATTTACTGGATGTAAGAGCAGGGAATTAAAAGTTAGTGACTCTCTTGTTGGTAAGCTGGCTAACTCCCATTTGCCTCCCCAGATCCAGCCTCTGCTGGCTCCTTCCTGCTCTCTGCCTGAAGCTGCCTCCCTGGCAACTTGGCCCTTGTCCCCCTGGTTGGCTTTAGGTCGGCTCAGAGGGTGGAGCCATGGTTGGGCAGCATCTTTACTCCTTCCTCAAGACTGCAGCCCCTCTCACATGACTCCTGTCCCTAGGCCCACTGCTTCTGAAATCCATCACACACACCCCCGCCATGCTTCTGGTCACAAGGAAGGAAGTTTCCTGACGCTGCTGATCCCTGACCATCTCCATGCCTGCCTGGTTCCCTAATCCTGTGTGCCCCTTGATTTGCCCCTGAGTGAACCACCTCAGTTGCCCTGACAGGTGCGGCTGGACTCCTGAGAGAATGATTGCTGATGTTTAAGAGGCTTTAGGGAATTAGCTAGGCCTTGGGGACCTTCTGTTCTCAATTCTATATTATATTCCTGATGAGGATTTCGGTCTTTATTAGGAGAGGGCTTTGGATTCTGAAGTTGTTTGATTTTTGGTTTTACTACTCACGCTAGTAACAGCCAACTCATTCTGGGTCTTAATTGTGGATTTTGCAAAGGTTTAACTTAGGTGCTTTCAGGTAATTTGTGGATTCAGTTACCCCTGCTTAGCTTATTAGGTAAGGAAAAGCTTCTCCCTTAGGCACTGGTGGTGTTCTCTCTGGTCAATCCCACCCAGAGGGCAGAGCTAGACCGAAAGGGGAGAGTTACAGTTCCACTGGGGAGAAATGACTGCTGCTATTTCTGGGCCACCAGGTTCTAAATGCCAAGGACAGGTCATGGTCACCCTGCTTTTGAGAGACTCACTGGAAAATGGCTCCCTGCCTCACTTGAACCACATTATGATGCGAGCCAGGGGAGACAGAAGTCAAGCTCAGGATGTTCAGCTTGGTCATCTACTTCTAAGGCTATTCTTCAATCTAGGAGTCTACAAACATTTGCAATCTGTAGTCTAGAGAAAGGATGCCAGCTTTCTATATAAGTGAGAATCACCCTGAAGGGATACATCACTTAAACTCCTCTTTTAAAGAGGATCAGAAATCATCCAAGAGGGCCAGGGATTTAGCTCAGTGGTTCCGCCGCCTGCCTCACAAGCGCAAGGTCCTGAGTTCAACCCCCAGTACCAAAAAGAAAAGGTTGTCCCAGAAATCATCCAAGAGGTGTCAGTGCCCAACATAATGAATGAGAAATGGGAGGAATGACCCCACTGAAGGAGCGCAGTCCCAGGGCGAGGTGTGGAGGGCAGTGGAGGGAGCTGAGTACAGGAAACAAAGTAGGCAGTGGTGGTTTAGGAGGTATCCTCAGAGAAATGGCAGTGATCAAGCCCAAGTTCCTAGAGCTGTAAAACACTCAATAAACAGATAGCCCATTCCCATTTTACACCTGAAACAAGAGGCCAAGAAAGGTGAAGAGCTTAGTATAAAGGGGAGTAAGAGAGGGCTTTGATCCTGGGTTCCCACTTTCTACTATGCCACCACTCCCTCTCTCTTGCAGGTCTCTGTTTGTTGGCCTGTGATATGGATGGAATCTAGGCTGACTTAGAATATTGTCCTTGCACTAAGCTTCCCTCAAGGATGGCACCATAACCACTGACTTCATAACTGCTGGTTGGAGGAAGCTATACTGGGTGTCCCTAAGCAGTCTAGCGCCTGCTTGATTTCTTCCACAGGGTGGCCCAAGACAGGCCAGCTGGGTCCAGGGACATTTATTCATTCCCATTTGCCTGCCAAGGCCAGGCAAGCTCAGCTGCCCACCCTCTCTGGGGCATCAGGATCTGAGGTTCTGCCCGCAGTCTGCTGTGGGAAGGAAGTGAAGGCCAGCACCTGTGGGAAAACTCATTCTCTGGCCACATGGCTGATGGCTGTCAAGTGTCAGGGTCAGGGCCTGGGTGAGCACTGCCAGTTGGCCTAGCAGTTACCCAGGGGCTGGGGTGCTTGGGTCCTCCTTTCTTTGTATATGAGGCCTGTTGGAACCTCTTTGATCTGTACCTGTTTCCTCCCCTTCATTCCCCCTGTCCTTGCTTACAGCTGCTGTCACCTCTCTCCAGGTCACTGCATGGCCCTCCAGGCCAGCCTCTCTGATTTCCTAATGTCCTTCCTACCTGTCCTCCTTGAGTAGTTCCTTGTTGCCTTCAGGTGCCTGATTCACATATTGTTTTCTTCGTTCACATTCAGTATGTAGCTAGAGTGTGCTGAGTGCTCTTGCAGTGTTATAGTTTAGATCTTAAATGTCCCCTGTCTTACTTTTCTCATTGCTGGTACAAAATACTGGACACTGACAAGTTAAAGAAGGAAAGGTTTATTCTAG